TCCACAAAAGTAGGAACAAACTCTCAAAGGTAAATGCTACCCTAATAACCATGGTTTTGGACATGTTCAGAAAGTTACGTTAGACTTATGTTAGGAAGCATATATAGAAAATAGTAATTTGGCCATTCCATGAATGACTGTTTATAAGCAAGCTCTGTTTCAATGAGGGAACAAGCAGTAACTTTTAAAATTTAAACTTTGTTACTAGAGAAGCATTTTGGTGGAGTTGGTCTTTGAAAATAACTAATCAATCCAAAACCTTCATGAGACAGAAGAGAGGAAAACACAAACTTATTTTCCAAAACAAACATTCCTCTTTTCCTGTCTGCATCAGGTCATCTGCCAGAGAAAAGCATTCTTGGTGTTCATCTGGCCAGGGCCAGTCTCTAATATGGCTCCAGCCTTCTTCCATGCTTTCTAGCAGTTATCCTCTATCTACAGGAGGCTGGAAGATACAGGGTGAGGGTGAAAGCAATGTGATTGCTGCAATAATGACAATTCTTGCTTTTCCAGGCTGTTCAAAGCAGAAGGGGGAAATATTCATCTTTTCCTGTAAAGCAGCTCTGACATTTACAGAGACTCACACCAAAAGATGGAGGGTGTAATTTCAGTCTTTAGGTCAACAACAACAAAAAAAAGTTGTAGTGGTTTTAGTATTTAGTAATTTAAGTATACTACGTGTAATATACATATTTAAAATGCTACTATTAATCTTTGGTACTGGCATATCGCTTGATGCTTTTTAAGGAGAATTAAGCATTCAGTTGAGAAACAAGAAGACTGACTCAGATTAAAGCTAACCTACTGAAAGGGGGGTGGTTTAGGTTGGATATTAGGAAAAAAAAATATTCACTGGAAGGGTTGTGAAGTATTGGAACAGACTGCCCAGAAAAGTAGTTGAGTCACCATCCCTTCAAAAAGCGTGTTGATATAGTGCTTAGTGACAAGGTTCAGTGGTGGACTTGGCAGGGCTAGGTTAAAGGTTGGATTAGATGATTTTAGAGATCTTTTCCAACCTGAATGATTCTATGAAAAACTAAACAGATACGATTAATTTTAAGAAGGATTAGTTATTCTGAGGTAGCTTAACATGTAGGTGCATGACCATTTGTACCAGCACAAGGAAGGGGACCTTCTGGGGGCCTTAACTCCTTGTATAGGTGATGCATTGCTGCGTTCAGTCTTCAAGCTGCCTCAAATGTGTGGAGTGTTTTTAGTGCATTGTAAACTCATCAGTCTTACCTATTGAGTTTTCAAAATATATGTTCATATTACTGAATAAGTGTATCATAATTATTGTGTAATTGGAATGATTTTAGGTATCTAATTTAGGTATCGATTTAATTATTTTTGAAGTATATCAAAAGCCATGAGATGAAAACATAGCTTAACGCTATAGGTTGAAGCAGAGAGGAACAATATGACCAAGGATCTAGTGCTGCAAATGTTTGACTTAAAATAGTGGACCAGTTTGTGATGTTAGAGTTAGCACCAGGTTCACGAGGTTGAAATTAGACTTAAAGCTTTGTAATGGGGGATATAATTGGGTCAGCCTGTGTGGATTTTGAGCCTAACATTTTGACTCTATTGACAATTTTCTAAAGTATTTTTGTAAATTCTAATCGGAGAGGGTTGTCGCACACTGGAACAGGCTCCACATGGAAGTAGTCACTGCACCTAGCCTGTCGAAGTATAAGAAGCGATTGGACTGTGCACTTAGTCACATGGTCTAAAATTTTGGGTAGACCTGTGCGGTGCCAGGAGTTGGACTGATGATCCTTATGGGTCCCTTCCAACTCGGCATATTCTATGATTCTATGGATCTCCTTGCACAATGCCTTTGAAATCTCTAAGTGTAATTGTGGGGGTGGAGAAGTTATTTAGAACTTTTAATACCCATTTACCTGTGCTGGATTAAAAGTTGATAAACAGTGGGCTTAAGAACATGTTTATTTAAAATTAAAACAATTGTATCACTTACAATATTTTTTTAATCGACTTGGTAATTTTCCTTCTTATTTTCCTGTCGTCTTCGTGTTCCTAGCAAAAAGGCAAGCCTAAAATTATTTTTTTTTCTTCAGAAAAAGTTGTAGTAGGAGATGCATCAAGTCAATGAGCAGGATCATTTTGAGCTCTTATATTAGTGTTTAGAAAAAGTTGTTTTTTTTTTCTTTTTAACCACAACTGTACTGTAAAATGATTTCTTATAAACATACTTTTTGGTTCAGGCATTCATGATGAATTCTAGGTGCTTCTTTTCCCTAATTAACTACAATACAGCTGCAGAGGTACCTGTGTTGAGTAACAGCTCATGATGCTCTGACAGAGTTAACTAAGTAAACTCTTTCAAACAGTTGCTTTCTTCCTCCAAAATGCAGTCAAGTACATGTCAGATTTGTTTTCTTTTGTAGGTTAGTAATTGCAGCAATGTCCGAAGTGGTGGAGGACTTCTGTTCGGTGCTTTGCTCATTCCAAAGATATTTTTAGCCACTGTGTTGCTTTCCAGGAGCATGTACTTGCTTACCTGGCTGTATCAGAGAAACTGGCCCTTGAAGAAGAGTTTTGCAGGGCTGGCAAAAGCATGGAACATGACTAGCCCAGCTGGGGGGATGAGTGAGTTGCAAGCTGTAAGGGCTCTGAGATCCACTGTTCAGAATGCGCAAGGTGAAGGGAGCTTTTAGACTGGAGATGGTAACGTAGCTCTGTGATTTCTCTCTTTGCTTGCTGTGTAAAAGTTTTTGGCCTTCCTGTTCTTTGTTAAACATAGTGCTGCCAATATGCCTTGCGCAGATCAGTGGACTGGACATCTTGGAGCAGGTGAAGAAACTGCTGGAATATAGTTGTGGTTTCTCAAGGGGCAGATCTGCAATAATTTGTTATCATTGAAAAAATTGAAACTACCGGTCAGTTGAACTATAGTGTCTGAGTGTTTCTATACTGTGGTACTTCAGAGATAAAATCAGACTACTTTTTGTGACTTAAGCTACCAAATTTAACTATATTTTCAATTGCTGGAAACTTATACCCGATCAGTTACACAGACTTGGAATGCACACTCCAAAGTTTGCATAGCAGTAATGTGATAGACAGTAGTCACTTGTGTGCATTTTGTATGGTCTTAAATTGCTGATGCTACATGAAGTTTGAGAATTGCAGCTTTAGGCTTAATCATCCAAGTCATTTTGTGAATGTGAACATGTTTACTACTGCCACTTGCTGCTGATCTCTTTGCGTTCCCTCTGTTATATGATTTGTGAGAATTATTTATAGATCGTGGACATTAGAAACTAGTGATTGTTTTAAGTCTCGATAAGCTGTTAACTGTGCTTGGCAGCCAAAGTTTGCACATCTGTTATTTAAACTCTTGACTTGAAATTTGTAATTTTTGATTAGTGATTCATGCTGTTGTTTTCTTTCTTCTCCGTTTGCAATAATGGAATTCAAAAACTTCAAGTACAGTATACATGAAGTTTGAGCTTAGCTTTTAGTTTCAATCTCTGAAAACTTTATAAAGACTGAAACAGGAGTTAAATTTTGGGAGAGTCTTCCCTCATTTGAAAAGAAAATGTTTCTTTCACTTTGTCCTCTTAAGGCTAGTAAAATGCCTGCTGTGAAATCTTAATGAACTTAGTGGTTCAAAGCTGAAAAATGGCAAGCCACATCTAAAAGCAGTGTTAAGATGTATGTGCTTTTGCATGACAATATTGCATCAACATGTATCTATATAGATCACCAATTTGATATGTTTTGTTTAAGGTACATGAGGAAAATGCTTATGTAGAACAGCTCTCTGGAATGTCTGCAAATATCCAACCTGTTTGTTATTTACATGTTAGTATTATAAAAACTGTTTTCCAAGTCTGGTCTAAAACATAGTCGGAAAATTCCTACCATGGTAGGAATTCAGGAATGTAGGTTTCAGAACCTCATCTCATCTATACAAATGGGAGTGTGTGGGATATGGAGTGACATGGGATGAAAGTGTCAGTGTTTTAATATTTTAGAAGGCTAACATTTGAAATTGCAATTTTTTAATTAAATATAGAACATACTTTGAGTATCCCAACGATTTGACGAAAAGACTAACTTGAGAAGAATTCTGTGGTAAATAATCATAGAATGGTTTCCCAAACTGCAGCCTTAAGTATCCATTTGCTTTTCTGTTTGTGCAGTGGAGGGCCTGCAATTCAAGTTATTAAGCTACTATCATGCGTACTTCCAAATTTCTTCATTTTCTCTTCTTTTATGGATAAATAAAAAAAAAAATCAGTGCTTCAGATTCAGAAACCAATTAATTTGATGTCTGTAGTTGGAAAACATTTGTATGCATAATGCTCATTGGTGCATTTTGGTGGTGTGATAGGTACTGAGGAAAACTCTCTTCTTTAAGAGAGTTTTACTTTTAAGAGTTTAAGGAATAAGTGAAGTCAGTAATCTTAACCCTTTATTATCTCCAGTTGAATGCTTCAAAATGGGTTCATACTAATATAAACTTTCCTACAGAAAGTAATTGAGCCAAGAAGGAATAGCTTCATACGGAACTGGCTACCTTCGTAATTTATAAATGCAATGCCAAACTGAATTACAGGATTGTATGTTAATCTTGCACTGAAGCCATTTCAGGTAAAATGTTTACCTTTGGAGGGCCTTTTTAATATAACAAAGGAATGTATAGTATGAATTTACTTCCTGAATTGTTTTTTATACACTTGCTTTTTTTACTTCATGAAATGTGGTCTGTGGTTACGTCCCAACTTACTAACATCTTGTGATGACTCGGTAATGATTTAAATGAGAACTGATTTAATGAGAAATGATTTAATCGAGAACTTGTTCTGTTGTTACAATGGTTGGAGGGTGTTCCTTTTCAAGTTACTCTGCAAGTGGTGGTTTGGAATTTAGTAATTCTTTTACTTACACTATAAAACTGATTTCATGGGGAAAAAAAAGTTACTATTTAAAGAATTATGACTTGTTAATTTTGTTTTTATATACTATAGGATATGTTTTGGAGTTGCAGACAGAGTATCTTTGCTGAAATGAAGAAGAAATTTTCACAGGTAGACAGATGAAATCAACTTTATTTAATAACTAAGATACATAGTAACAGCATGAGGCTGTAGCACTGATTTCTAAGCATGAGCTGAGAAATGAGCATTCTAAGCCAGAGCATGAGCTGTTGAATTCTTTTGCATGTTCTTGAATACCGAGATTATGTACATATTAAATGCAGTCTTACTTAGTTTGAAGCTTCTGCTGTTATGTTCATATGCTTTTACATTGTGTTTCTGTAGCCTTCTAGTTTTTCATCAAAAAAGATAATCGTGTATTATCAATTGTATACCAAATTATGTAGTGATTAAAATTGTTTGTTTTTTTTTTTTGTTTACCCTGTGGACTTGATTCAATAATGGTCAGGCAAAGTAGTTCAGAGGTTGGTCACTGGCCAGTATTGCCTTTTACAGTATTTTTATTGTTAAGAAACCCCAAATAAGATGTTTGTGTAGACTGATAGTTCAGATGGTGTATGTGAAAGTTAGATATGAACAGAGTTGAACTGAGGTTGTCTTTGCTTCACCTATTTACTGTGAACATGAAACAGTGAAAACTCAAATGATGGCTTAACATCTTTTGCAATACTATCCCTGAGTTAAACCAGTTCAGTCTGTCAGAATTATGTCTGAACGAGGAAGAGAGGATTTGTCTGGCATGGAACATCCAGCAACCCAACCAGCAAATCTCTGTAATCTTCTATAATTTGTTCTCTTAATGTTATTTCCTTTATGGAGTTCTCCGTCCATCAGATACGATGAGTATAATTATTTTCTGTATGAGTCAGAACTGATTTGTTATCAAAAGCAATGGAGAAAGCTTGAGTAGGAGGATTTGAATTCATAGGGATCTTCTGCAGAGAGAAACAGAATGGTGGCGTTGGTTATGAGAAGGCAGAACAAAAAGGAATTAAGACTCCAATAGAGAACTTTTCTTCCTGCTGTAGTCATATAGGGTCAGTACAAAATTAGTGTGGGAACTATATAAAATAGAGTTAACACATTTTTTTTCTAGATGGAACTGTATGAGTAGTACCAGGTGCCTCTAAGCTCTGCACTGTTGGACCCAGAGCAATCCAAGTTCTGTAGGCTGGAATGGGAGGTGCTTTTATGAGTTTATTGATTTTCAGCTCCTGATGATTTTCTCCAGAATAATCAGGAAAGTGGACTACTGAACTAGGCCATAAATTTGTTTTTCATAACCATACCATGAAAGATTCAAATTGTATACCTATTGTTTGATCAAAAAAAAAGGTGGGGGGTGCTCTGTGCTTGAAAACAAAGGGAAAGAATCCATCCTGAGGATTAATCACTAGTGAAATTTAACTTTAGTCTACATACATCAAACTACTTTTACTCTTGAACTATGTTTCCTTAAGGTGTAGTTAATGTTTCAGAGAGAGTTTTGTATGTCTTCTTGGAAAGTAGTTCATAAACCTTGCATTCTGCAGTCAAGGTTATGTATGAAGCTGACAAGTTGCTGATTTGCTGGAAGTGGTACATGGCATATTTTTAAGCATGCAGCTAATGTCCTGTGTTGAACTCTTCGGTGTCCTTGATAAACTTATTGTACTTGAAATTCTTAAGGGAAGTTGGGCTTTAAATCTAGAAAAATCAGTCTAAAGCAAGGTAACACAATATGGATTAGGACAGGGAAGAAGTGGCTGTATTTGCCTGTCTCTGTCAACTTTTTCCTCCTGGTTATAGGAATAGATGCTGCCGTTACCTAATGTTTCATTTTTGAGTTGCATGAAGACTATTGGCTGATCTTGAAATTGTGGAGAATAAAGGGATCAGCTAAAATGCTTGTTCCTCTTAATTTAAGAGATCCGGTATTTAAGACCTTTCATAAGGGACTGTACCACTTTGGTCATCTGTGTTGAGTTTGATTATGTAGAAATACAGGGACCATTAAAGTTGTTTAGCTCTTTGTAGTTGTTTGTTCTATAGTTGTTTGACATGGCCGACAGTTTTAGCATGAACACAGTTCTTGCTGTATATTAATGTTTTATCCACTGAAAGTGGCGATAGTGCTGCATGTATTTGTTTGCCTTTCTTGATGATCTGCTCTTTAGCCATGAAGTGAGATTTGGGTGGTCTGACATGCATTACTAATACTCCCTGTGTCACAAGTTGAAAAGGCTGACTCCTTGCGGACTAATTCTTCCTTTTACTGACCTCATGCTTTCTTGTGTGACCTGTACTTAAATATTAGTTATTCTTTGTTTTAGAAGCACAAGTCCTTTCGATAACGGAGATAATTGATTGTATTTCATTAGATCTTTGGCTTCCTGTTTTTTTTTTTCAGTGATGAAAATGCCATTTTCTTGGCTTATCTGGCTCTATAAAATTTCACCTCTATTCCATTGTATTCTTCACTCAAGATTGTTACTTTCTGATTTCAGATATATTGAAGTTGCTGTTTTAGCTTTCTTTACTTTGTTGTGCTTTGAGAACTACATGGTTGCCTTGCTCAATGTTAATTTTCTTACTGTGTTTAAGCAGAAGAACTTCTTCTGCGACTCACCCAGCAGCGGATGTGGTAAAAGAAAATTGATGGTGGCTTGATGAAGAGACTTTTTGTTTTAATGGATAGCTTCTAAGATTATTTGGAAGCTTGGAGATATGGTTTGCATTTTGAGAAATAACAAGAGGTGTGTTTCTATCTCAACAACATTTAGGACCATGTCAGAGCTAAACCAGCTTGAAGTGATGATTTGAAATTCTCTTCCTGATTTGACAATCTTCTGTGTGCTTAAAGGCTAAAGTTGTGTGTTGTACTTGAGCAGTTTATTTCACCACATATTTCACCACTCATCCAGATTCCTTCTTGTTCTATGAAAATGAAGCATATTTTGACATGTTTTCCAAAACTTAATGGTTCTTTACTTATGAAAGCAGACATAAGAGACCTAGGTCCTCTTTTAGGATCCTTAGGTCATAAAATATAATGCATTTTTTTTAGTAAAATCTTGTTTTGATTTTTTTTTTTGGGATACAAATTGTTGTTAGCTTTACTGACTGAATTGTTGCCTGCTGTCATTTTAGGTAGAAAGTGCTGCTGAGGAGCCCAGAGTGCTGTGTATAATACAAGATACCACAAATTCAAAGACAGTGAATGAACGTGTTACTTTGAACCTTCCAGCTTCCACTCTGCTTAAAAAGCTGTTTGAAGATGTGGCTTCAAAAGTGGGCTATGTGAATGGGACCTTTGATTTAGTGTGGGGAAATGGAGATAATGTAACTGATACGGTATGGCAAAAGTGCTTTTCATTTTCTGTTAATAACAAACATTTGAGGCTTCACATTACAGAAAAAATGTCAGCCATATTGCCTAGTGCATATTTCATAGTTAAATTTTTTTCATTAATCCTAATAAAAACTTCTAGTATGTGCACCAGAGCAGACTGACACTGCTATTTTGATTTGGCTGAATGTCACTGTTCTACATCTACGTTTTAATCTCAAAATGTGCTTTTTATTGATACACGTACTTAATCAGTAAACAAAACTTAATATCATTCAAATTTAATGCTAGTTTTCATTTTCAGTATGTATTTTCAGTAATAGTTCATGTGATAATTAACCCCCTTTGTCAGTTTCCTTTGGTCTTATTTGAGAAACTTTTCATGTTTCTTATACCTGTCTGAATGTACTGTACCGAAAAAAGACTGGCATTATTTCTGTGCTTTATTGTAAATCAGTGTTGTTTTTGGTTAATATGATTCTCAGAGATGCATTTAGAAAACTTTACAAGATTTTTTTTCAAGAAATAGCTTATTTCAAGACATGCTTGTGCTTGCTGAACTTTTTTTTTTTTTTTTTTTTTTTTTAAACAAAAGTGCATGTAGGCTGTGTAGGATTTACTGTTCTGCAGAAATTTTGCAGACCAATGTCTTGGCTCCTGAGTAGATTGTCCGTCTTCTGAGTATTAAACTGTACTATAATACTTAATTTAAACTGTCTTTTAAACTGCCCCCAAGTTCTTCCAGTGTTAATGAGTATGTTTTGTTTCATCTTGTCTTAGTGTGCCAGAAGCTACTTCAAGCAATATACTTGGACAGAATCTGTTAATTGCATATAAATCTGTTTAAAAAAATAAAGCGCTTTATTTTTTTAACAGACTCCAATAGATCAGAACAGTGACAAAACTATTCTTGATGCTGGTTTTGAGCCAGGGAAGAAAAATTTTCTACATTTGACAGACAAAGATGGTGAGCAACCTCATATAAGATCGGTAGGTAAAATCTTTGCTCAGCTACATAAGCTATAGTGCTCGGAGGATAGATGTATGCTATGTGTATTGCTCTTCTCATAATGTCAGAAAATGAAACTAAATTGGGCTATATGTTTCATATAAGCTACTACCTCAGGAACCTCAACGGGCTTTTAGACTGCTATGTTATGCTTCTAGGTTTATCCTGAATTAAGACCAATTCCACTAATAATGACTTATTTTTACTTTTTATTCATACTTGTCGAGTATTTACATGTATGTAATGTTTTGCTATGGATAATTTTGTAAGATTATATAATTAATCCGACGTGTTTAGAGATAAGTTTTAATAATATAGGTTTAATTATACTTGTTCCTTTTCCTGTGATTGTTTGAAAGCAATGTTAGGCCACTCATGGAATTTTCAGAAAAGATAGCACTGTATCAACAGTAGAATTATCTGCTCCCAATTTTACCTTATTTAAAAATAATAAAAAAAAAAAAAAGTGTTTCTGCAAACAATTGTCTGCTGTAACAAAATACTGTAAGATTGCTGTTCCTCAAATATGTGATGTAGTAAAAGATAAACATAGGTAGAGTTTATTTAAATTGGGGATCAGGTAGACCAGTGATATATGGATGTTTATTACTCAGCTCTGATGTCGGCATAAGGCCTACTTAGCCTTTTATGGACTTCATTATCTGGAAAAGAAATGAAACCCAAGGTCAGAATTTGAGGATGTTTTTGAAGGAATACTGAATTGTAGTTTTCATACCAAAAAAAGGAACGAGAATTCTATTTTGCATTTTAGTACTGTAAACTTGAGACGTAAGAGATGATAAATTGCAAGCTTGCTTGTTGTATGTATTAGAATACTTTATTTGATTATACAGTATTGTGAAGGGTATTTCCTTCCACTAGCATAAATAATGCTTTCTGAAGGAGCTGGGGATTTGGAGGGCAGAACTGAATATTACCCAAACAACTGTAAATCTGCTGTGTTAAAAGTTTAAAAAAAAAAAAAAAAAAAAAAAAAAGGTATTTTAAGCTGATTTCTTAGCTGTGAGAGAAATAAAATTTCTAGGTACTTCAGTAAAAAAAAAAAATGTATAATTTTTGTATTAAATAATTGCATTTATGTTTTAGGAGGAATCAGGTACAACAGATGACAGTATGCAAGACAGATTTATAGGCCCACTTCCAAGAGAAGGCTCTGTTGGCTGTACCAGTGATTATGTCAGTCAAAGCTACTCATATTCTTCAGTCCTGAGCAAATCAGAGACAGGTATAATGTTCTCTCTTGTAAAGGCATTACTAATTTGTTACTATTTTAGTATACTTTGAAATAGCAGCATCTTCAGAATTCTCAAAAGAAATCCCAATTTATTGGGAGGGGAGGGCAGGAGGAGGAACCACCATGCTGATATATTTTCCATCACATTTTCTATGACATCCTTGCATTATGGAAGAAGAGCTGTATCTCATCCATATCTATTGAGAGTGCAATCAGTGCAATTCAAACTGTCAGGGACCCTCCATTTCCATATTAATCCATTGCTGTGTCCCTGGCTGAGAAGTTGTGACTGTATTACCAAAAAGTATTCATCCCAAGCTGTGTTTTCAGTTGCAGCTTAATGAGTACTTGATGCCATTTTGTAAGAGGGGCTGTTCCCAAATCTTTGCAATCCAGATGTTAGCTATTGTCTTTCTCCTGCAGCCCCTGAGTTCTGGTTTCCCTGCTTACACTGTAATTGCCAAGAGATAATTCTGTCCACTGCCTGGCACCTCACCAGTGAGCAGAGACTCCCTCTGGAAGGGGGAACGCAGCTCAGTGCCAGGACAGATCCCTCTTTGCTGTGCAGAGAGGGGAGGACAAGGCAGCTTCTGCCCAGCAGCTGCTGCCACCTCCCACAGTCTGTGTGTTGCAGCCCTTCCCTCTCTGTTGGCTGAAAGGAAATGTTGCACAGTTGAAGTGGTTGCCAGAAGGGAAGAGTAAAAGAAGCTGCCTGGAATCTCATATTTTTCATGGTCATAGCTCTGTTTTGCTATCAAGATATGCACTCCCCAGTTGTGTATGAAGATTGACAGATACTAAATTCTTGTAACATCACAGGCATGAAACGTTTGGGAATATCCCTGTCAAATTTCATACTATTCTAGATTCTTACTTCATGTTCTTACCCGTCTTCTCTACAAACACTCAGTTTGTATTTTATTTTTCGGAGAAGCACTAGAATAGTGAGGTTGGAAGGGACCTCTGGAGGTCACCTGGTCCAACACCCCTGTTCAAGGCAGGTGTTCTTAATCCATTTGCTGAGCTGTTAATCCAAGTCCTGCAACATGCATTAGCATTTGCTTTTTATTTTCATATATGCTATTATGTGTCCATAAAGTTGTAGCTCACTAATAAGACTAATTCCTGGTTCTAAGCTTTTTTGAACAGATACAAAGCTGACATATTACACCAGTTCATTCTTGCTTGAGATTTTTTTGAGATAGGAATGTTTATCTGCCACATAAGTTTTTGCATGTGACAAAACTAAGAAGATTAGTTGTGTACAGAGTAATAAATAAAATACACACTTCCAAAGTTAGCCTCTTCAGAAAAATTGTCTGTTTGGCATGGAGTAGCTGCCTCTTCATTACTAATATGAAACTGAGATGTATTTAATACAGCTTCAGTGTATGAATAAGTGTATTTGCTTTATTATATGGTGCTTCAGTATATGTTGCTTGCTTATCAGCTGTTATTAATGTTATATACTTTGGAGAAAATCTTAAAATGACAGTAAGGTTAATACAGATAACTCCCTTTTCAGCTAACAAAAACCATTAATTTTTAGTAGCTTTTCTAGTTACTGTGGAAGATTTAGAAAGATGTATGTGCATTGGCACTTAAGATGTTCGGTTTATAGCTCTCAGGCTTTAATACAAACCAATACTGATACAAATTGTAACTACATTATAACCAGGATATTTTGTAGTTGATAGCTAGGCAGTAAGCAAGCTATTTTACAAAATTTTTATGAACAAATTCTAGACTTCTGTAAAATACTTTAACTATTAAAACTATTTAGTGTTATTTGTGTCTCCATTGGTGGAGAAGTCAACATTAAATATTGTTCATTGCTGTGAAATGTGATTCGTGATGATTAAAGTAGCTCTGTGTAATTCAGAGAAAACATCTGTGTTAAAAACGGTCTTTTTAATGCTTACTGAAGTAAGCAATTGTAAATTGCCTCAATTTTTGTAGTACAAATGACAACAGCTGGATGTAGTTCTTGAGTAAACATGATCACAGTTGTCTTATTGTCAACATATTTTGTGATGTGGCATCTTTTTACATTATTTCCATATCATTCTTTTTGTATTTATAGGCTATGTGGGTCTAGTAAATCAAGCAATGACTTGCTACTTGAACAGCCTTTTACAAACGCTTTTCATGACTCCTGAGTTTAGAAATGCATTATATAAGTGAGTATACATGATCAAAATACATTCCTAATGTCACAGTATGTGCTATCTGTCCTGATACATTGTGGTAGAAAAACCTTTTAAATGCCTTCTCTTTTGCATATTGAAATGTATCTGAATGTTAATAGAAAACCTTGATTCCAAAGTGGATAGAATAGTTTGGATAACATGCAAGGATGCAGAAAAGTAAGTAGAGAAGTTATCCTAAGGGGAAAGGAGGAAGATTTCTTTTAATACTTGATATCAAACTGGATAGGCTAGTATATGTTACCTGTTTAACATCTTCAGATTTTGCTGAAATACTAGAATATTATTGTTGTGGCATAGACTAGCTTCTTAAAGAATTTTCCACATCTTGAAAAGATCAAACTTCAAAAGGAGTGTGATACTAATTGGAGTTCATGTCTGTATTTGTGCAGTGAATGGCTTCAAAAGTATTTTACTTGTTTGTTTTATGTTTGTACTTTTAAAGAATAGCATTGTCATTCACTGAAGAAATGGAAAGCAATTTTGTTAAAGGAGAATTTTTGACTTGCTCCCAGTAACAGAGCTTCAGTTGACATCTAGTCTGGCAGACCTCTTAAAATGCAATAAGTGCTGATTTAAATGTCTTTTTCAGTAATATTTTCAAGTCATTGTTAATTGTTAAATATCTAATGTTGCGAATAGATGGGAATTTGAAGAATCTGAAGAGGATCCTGTGACAAGTATCCCATACCAGCTTCAAAGGCTGTTTGTTTTGCTGCAGACCAGCAAAAAAAGAGCAATTGAAACAACAGATGTTACACGGAGTTTTGGATGGGACAGCAGTGAGGGTAATATGCAGCTATTAAGCTTGTGTGATTTACTTCAATAGTCCCCTCTTAGGGGCCTAAACTGCTGCTGATGGGGAAAAATACCTAAATAATTAAAAATGATTATTAGAATTCACTTTGGATGGAAGCAAAATGGCCTAAGTTGTTGTTTGGTTGTGATTTGTTTTTTTTTGTTGTTTTAAATAAATATCTGAGAGGTTTAGGTCATTAAAGTAAAGTACCTTAGTTTTGTAATTAAGCTGTCATTGCAGTTATAAATGTTAACTGTTTCTTAAAAAAAAAAAAAGTATCTCTTCAGGAGAAACTTGCATCTGTTTTGAATCATGAGTGTCAAATGAATGCATTCCAGTGAAGTAGAAAATTATATTGAAGATTCCATAAAATCAAACTCTCTTGCACATAATATAATTTTTCTCCATAACCGGTTAATTTTCCATGGAGTAATTACGCAACCCGTGTTCTTACACTTAATGGGGAGTGAGGGGAAAACACATTATTGGATTCTGGAGAATCACCATAAAATAAGTCAGAATCAGTTTATTTTATAATTTCGAATGGTGCATGTTAGCACTTCTGTATACTTTGTATATATACTCTGTATATTTATTGTTATATACAGAATTCTTGTTTATACACACTGAGCAACTTGGTTGTCTGTTTTTTTTTTTTCCTAATTTAATTTGAAAGCTAACTGCTAGTGGAATTGAATGCTGTCCCAATAGTGATTAATGTTGTAAACACGTTGGAAGAGACTTGAAAACAAATTGATAGCTTTAGGAAGCATTCTGAGACTACAGTTAGTATTGGGTAAATAACTTCTCTTGTTTTAAAATAAAACTCAATTTCTAACAGCATGGCAGCAACATGATGTACAGGAGCTTTGTAGAGTCATGTTTGATGCTTTGGAGCAGAAATGGAAGCAAACAGAACAGGTAATTGTATCAAAACTTTCACTCATTCAGTGGTGTGGTTTTTTTAAGGATGATTGTGAAAATGTGAACTCTAAATTCTAAGTACAAGATTATTGGTGGTCTACAGCAGTTACTAATTTTCTTGTTTATATGGTATCTGCTACTAAAACATATTTTTGCATGTTACTTCTATTTTCATCTCCAATTAAAAGTGGAATATTCTGAACTCTGGATATTCTTTATTTGAAGCACTGAAAGTGCTTATGTAACTCCTTTTGTGATAACTTCCTTGCTATCAGTATTTTTTAGCTATATTGTGGGCTCTTGCAGCTCAAGCCCTCTCTTCTAATACAGAAGACAGTATATTCATAACGCGTTCTACATTCTGATAAGTAGCTAAGTTGTCATACAGCCAGCTTCCATATTTGTAGATTGGCAAATATCTCTATCTTTCTTCACCTCCCTCCAGAGATGCAGGGAAAGAGTGTAATATCAGTGTTAAAAATGTCTGCACAATCAGGCCGTCTTTTTTAAAAAACAGACTTAATTTTGATAGTTTTTTAGTCATTCTTAAGATGTGTCCATAAAGGATACCTTGAAGCTTAATGTGAAGTGCTTTGAGAAGCTGTTTTTACGCGTGTTCTGCAGTGGTGGGGTAGGGGAATAGGGGAGAGAATCAAGAGATGCTTCCTGCTAGGAAGTGACAATTCTAACTTCATAGCTATGCAGTTAAGACTTAAAATAATAATTTAAAAAAAATGTTGTAAAGCTAAAGAAACATTGTTTTACATTTGTTTAAAGCACTGTTAAATATTTGTCTATTGCAGGCCGATCTTATAAATCAGCTGTATCAAGGCAAACTGAAAGACTATGTAAGGTGTCTAGAATGTGGCTATGAAGGATGGAGAATCGACACTTACTTGGATATTCCTTTGGTCATCCGCCCGTATGGCTCCAACCAGGCATTTGCTAGCGTGGTGTGTACTATTATGCTGACTAATAGTGCATCCATACACACATAGAATACATAATGCGACAGTGGTATAATTTTTTACATGGTAAGTATCATCCTAGATACTCCATCTTGGGGTGTTCGTCTTTGTGCAGTGAACCAGCTAGCAAGTTCTAGAAGATTTTTTTTGGCTTTTTGGTTTATTTTTTGTTTTGTTTTTTCTTTTACCCTTCAATGAGTCCTACTGGTGCATGTATAAGGGGAGGGGAAATGCAACTTTATTGCCTTAGGGCTTCAGTAATCAATTATTTTCTTCCTGATAAAATTTTCATCATTGACCTGAGATATTTTTGAAATCACTAAGTTTTCTTTGGGTTGTTCTCTTTATTGAGAAAGCTGCTAAATTTTAATAGCATTGTTGAAAATCTTAGTGGAGGAAGAGAAGATTGACTTAGAATTTTTTAGTTAACTTGCAGTGTTGTTGCTGTGCTTTTTAAAGTTCACATCTGAAATACCATATGTTTTTAGCAAGAAATTTAATAATGAAAAAAAAAATCCTATTGTATATTGATATTCTTGATCACTTTTGCTCCAGCATTACTGATGTTGGCAAGCATATATATTAGTAAATCTGAGAAAGCTTTTTATTTTTTCCTAGCCCCTGAAAAGGAATTTCATTAAAAACTGAAATTCCACTGTTGTGGTTCAAAATATCTGTAATATTGGTGGAATTGTGAGGAAGAGTTAGAATGAATTGAAGCCTTTGGGTAAAGGTTGTTTTAAACAATCACTTGTTGCGTAATTGGCTTACCAAGGTTATTTATTATAGACAAACTATTTTTGCCTTTTGTTTTTAGCATGTTAGCATTTTTTAAGCACAAGTCTGTAGTTCTTAACAGTATTCTGTTAAGAAAAGAACTATCAGAATTAGGTTAAACTGCAATGTAGGTTCAAGATACTTAGTGCTTTAAATACTAATCTTGAGTAGCAGTAAAGATACGAAGGACATCTATCTCACAAAAGAATTCATGTTAGTGAAATCTTTTGAATTCTTTTTAGGACTGCAGTAATTTTTTTCATACCCAGAAATATCCAGCTATTCAAAGCCGTGTTTTGAGCTGTAATTCCAGTGATTGTGACCTTTTGTATAGATTGCTTCCCTTTTCATATTTTAACATGTTTCTACAAATATTTCCCAAAACAAGGTTTTTATTGTAATTTTTATTCAGTGGAGTTTTTTCTGATTTATTAAAGAAAATAATGAAAACCTTACTTTATAATTGCATTCTGCATTTAACAATACATTGTACATGTCTCAGCTTGAAATTTTCTTCACTAGGGAAGGAAGAAGTATATAGCAGAATGCTGTAAAAAAAAAAAAATAAAGTTCTTTGTATATTTGTAAAAATGACGGAAGCTTGAAAAATCAAGAATTTAAATGCAGATTACTTTTTGGTAGCATTTGACATTTCTCCTGTAAATCAGCAATTACTGGGTTTACTCTACAGTGAGGAAAATACTTCTAAGACTTGTTACTGAGTTACGTGGTTTCAATTTGTACTGATAATTCAATTTTTGAGCTTTTTTTTTAAAAAAAACTTCCTACTCTGATTATATTCAGTTGATTCTCCCCCCTGCATTTGTCTTATTTATAGCAGATGTAATTTTTAGTTTTGTAGTCTTCAGCAGTGGGGAGATATGGAGGATACTTGCTTTTGGAGAAGGGAAAGATCGCCTGTTTCTAAATGGAATTCTCTGAAGGTAGTATCCTCCATTGATCCGTAGATGGTGATTTAGTAGGTGTAGGTAAAAGGGTATTTGTGAGAGATCAAAAACTTCACACATGCGCTAATAGGGCTTATAGAAGGGAATATAAAACTTTTTAGACCTTGCTAGTCAGCTCCTGAGGGAACTTGCAGCAGGCGACACAACCCAAGATAGGGGATCTAAGGAGGATACTACCTTCAAAGAACTCTAGTTAGAGGTAAGTGATTTTCCATTACTTTCTTACAAGAGAGAATCGATGTATGAACTTTAAGGTTAATCTGTAGAATGCCACGTAAAGTGTATTATCCCACTGTTCGACATTGTGTACTACCGAAAAATGTAGATACCTGAGATGTCGCATTTGTCTATAAATATACATGTATTACTTCTTAAATGGCAGCATTGAAGAACTTCTTGGAAGGATAATGTTATGTTTTATTTCCTAATATGAAGCAACTCTAAAAATACTCAGTATGTTCTTAAGGTTTGCATTTTGATTTTTTGATTCTTTATTCCCCAAGTTCGTGTCATATAATAGAACTGCTTAGCTATAACCTTGTTCAGGCACTGAGATCTTGTACGTATGTATCTCAAGATTTAATATTTTTCAGTAACTGCAGAGTTGGAGGGCATGCTTTAAAAAACCTTAGGTGGTCTCCTGGAGGTCGGTAGAGATACAGACATAATATATAGCTTCTAATTAGATGTGGGTGAACAGGAGCAGCAATTCACATGGATTTTGTTGATACTGGTACGCCTGAATTTAACAGTATTAGACAGAAACACAATTTTTTTTTTTTTTTTACTCTAAGTCATAAAAGTATTGACAGATAACAGCTGAGAGGAGTGGTTGCACTGAGAAATTAGCTGGCATGCTGAAATTGATACTAGAAAGAAGCAGAAATGCTTTATAACACCAGACAACTAGTGTTAATTCCAGTAGTCTGGAGGTGTGGCAAATATATTTGTTTTAAGTGTTTTGAGTGTTCATCATCTTTTGTTAGCTTTTTTACTGAGGGTGTAAGAATGGATTTAAGTAGAATTACGATGAAAACTGCATGAACTTGCTTTCAGTGTAGTGTCATTGCCAAACTACAACTATTAAGAGTAATTTGAAAATAGGTGACTTAAAAAAAGGAAATATGTCTTAGAAATCTAACTTAGGTTGGTAACAAGGTCTTATATTTTTAATTGTGTTTATTCTTTGGACGTGGAAAAACTAGATGAACTCTGAAAATCTGAGATGGAAATTTGTTTATAGTTTTTTCCAGTAAGTTTTACCTAATGGTTATTCATTCATTGTGTAGCATTTCATAAAGATTCTACTCCACCTGTTCACATTTAAACAAACGCTTGCAGTAAGATATCTGTGGAACTACTGGCTATATTAGAGTGCCTCTTTATGGAGAAAACTGTATCCTAAGTGCCTATCGATGCCTCACGATAATTAGTTTGAACTGTTAGCATAGTAAGATGCCATAGCAAAGTGTTGAAACATTAAAAACTAGAGATAGCCTAGAAGTGTTCTCTTGATTCTGTGACCTACAAAAAGGATTAAACTGAAAGATTAAATGAAAACATGCTAATCTAATGATTCATCCCCTATGATACATTTTGAAGTGTGTATGTTAAGAATGTTAGAAATATTCAGTAGCTCTGAGACTACCTGGCAATTACCTCTTGAAGGTAACAGTTACTCTAAAAGTAGAGTCTTACAGTTTGGGGAGCAGCACAGCATAAAAGTTTTATCACTGATTTTGTTGAGAAAACTATGAGTAATAAGAATAGAAGATTGTGAAATGTATTAGAATAGGAATTGCATTAAGAAATGTCCTAATAAAAACTAACTTTGGTGTAAAGATTACTTAGGAGAAAATTGGAAGAGATATAAGTCAGAAAACCTAAGGAATATTATGTTTCTCATAAAATGATCGAAAAACATATGGATATTTATACAGCTCCAAAATAATGAAGTTCTCAAGAGCTTTAATAACATTTTTTAAAGTACAGCTTACTATATGTGGTAAGCAGTGAAACCACTAATGTCACGTAATGATACTTCATTCAGTTTTTGAGGGGTCTAAAGGAACTATCAAAATCTGTCATTCAAGTTTTGTAGTTTTCAGTGACTGAAATAATTTTTGTTTGTATCACCATACATACGTTCTGATTTATACCTACACCGTAAACGTTTTTTAAAAAATCAGGTAACATCTTTTTCTTATTAGGAAGAAGCACTGCATGCTTTCATTCAGCCTGAGATTCTTGATGGCCCCAATCAGTATTTTTGTGAGAGGTGTAAGAAGAAATGTGATGCAAGGAAGGTAAGCACTTTCCAGATCATTTGTGGAAAACTATTTTTGCTAGATACTGATCCTGACAGTGGTAGTAACATAATAATTGTCTTTACTTTGTTTAGGGCCTGCGGTTCTTGCATTTTCCATATCTGTTGACATTACAGCTGAAGAGATTTGACTTTGATTATACCACTATGCACAGAATTAAACTCAATGATCGTATGACGTTTCCAGAGGAGTTAGACATGAGTATTTTCATTGATGTCGAAGATGAGGTAAAGTTTTTAGTTTTGGAGAAAAGTCTTTAACTTTCTTGAAGCTCCTTATTAAGGAAATCAAACTGTCAGTCTAATAAAGCTATTTAAACATTCATCTTCATAAAATTTCTTTTAGCTATGGTAGTGTTTTAATTTGAAATTTCAATATATATCTGGATTTTCCTTCCTTTTTGAAAAGGAAGCATGTTCTCTAATTGATACAGGATTTCCATGCTTCCCATAAAGAAGTTGTTTCTGATTTCTTATCTTCACAAGAAACTTAAAAGCACAAGTTGCTAGGCTTTTCCACATCCTGCAAATCCAGCACGCAGCATACTTAAATTTGTGTTTAAATCTGTCTTGCTTACAAGTGATAATGAAAATATTTTGAAACTTCAAATGCTGAAGTTAGTCCATAAAACATTAATGATTAATAGAACACTAGTCATTCTTACTGTAATACCTTGACCCTGTCCAGTGAGTTAAAATGGAAGACATCTTTTTACTGTGGATGAAAATACTTCTGTCAAATCAGTTCTGATCAACGGCGTATGTTTTAATAGGACTTATCTGATATTAGACCTACAAGTATTTGAATGAACTTCATAAATGGAATAGGCTAGTATCTGATATAAGCTTGCCATTTTGCAAATATTTTCATTTCTTGTTCCATGTAACTTTAAATGTTGTATAACAGTAGTGTTTGTCTTTTTTTAAGAAATCTCCTCAGACTGAAAGTTGCACTGATAGTGGAGCAGAAAATGAAGGCAGTTGTCACAGTGATCAGATGAGCAATGATTTTTCTAATGATGATGGGGTCGATGAAGGAATCTGCCTTGAAAGCAACAGTGCAGCAGAAAGAATTTCTAAAGTTGGAAGTGAAAAGGTATGTTCTGGGTCTGGTTGGTATGGAATTAACTTCACAGCAGCCTGTATGATGCCAAATTTTGGATTTGTTACTAAAACTGAAAACACCAGTATTTTAGCTCTTGTTGAATAGTGCTTGTGCAGTGACAAGACTTGCTTTCTTGCTCTGCCCCTGCCATGATATGGCTAGAGGTGGGCAAGAAGCTGGGAGGGTCACATAGCTGGGAAAGGTAACCCAAACTGATGAGAAGAATATGCTGAGCTGTATCCCATGCCATGTAATGTCATCCTCAGTAAGTTAAAGCTGGTGATCTTCTGATGATTGCGTGATGGTGAGTGAATGCCTTTGCATCGCTTCTTTTCCTTTGCTTACTAAACTCCCTTCATCTCCACTGACAAGTTTTCTCACTTCTGATCTTCTGGTTAATTCCAACATTCCATTCAGGGAGAGGAGAGAGTGATTGGGTGGTTGCTTAGTTGCTGAAAGGAGTCAGTCCACCACAAATGTTAAGTAACAATTATTTATATTTATAATTATTTACAAAAGAGAAGTCTGCATTTTTATTCAAATTTCAAAAGTTGACACAATGGCAAAGGAAAGCATGCAACTGATTGCAAAATGATACAGATGAGGCCAGGGAACTGTTAAACAATCTCATCCAGAGTTAATATAAAGAAATCAGGCTGCCAGTCAGCCTAGGCTAGCAGTCGTATTTTTGTGGGCCATAGTTGCTGAAGGTCTTAGAGAAACTTAATTGAGTTTTCTTGCCAGTAGAAAATTCTTTGAATCTTAAGTTTTATGTTAATGTATGCAATGGATACCTCATGTACCCTCATTCAGTGAACACATTGGAAATTTGGCCAGTAATTTTTATTCTGATTTGTTAGAAAGCTGATTGGCCATGACAGTTAATTTTCATTGATACTGAAAGACTTGGATTTTAAATTGTACATCTGTTCCTCTTTACATTTACCTTAAACTATTTGAGATGTTTTTTTGAGTGTTCTGACTACTGTCCACTAGCTGAAAAAAAATTACTTGATAGTCGCTTGATTAGAACAAGGACAGAGTATTGTAATGTATCTGATGCAAATGTCAAGGCCTACTTTTGACAGTAGCTTTGGCCAACTACAGTAAGTTTAGCTGCTTGTCAAGACAAAACAGGCTTAACAGTTACCTTGCCAACTTCTTGGGTTAAGGTATCTTAATGGAGGCAGTATAATTTAAAGTATGTCTTCTATGTAATCTAAAAATACTTATTTCTTGTAACACCTATGTGAGTCAGTGTTGTTCAGCATTTTTTAATGTGTACACAGCAATGTGGTATGTCTTTTAATACCTATCTTTTCATTGATGCAAACGGTTCTTAGCGTGTTCAGGGTGTTGTGAGGGAAGTTAATGAAGAGTGAATACTGAAAGCTGTTACTGTTTTGCATTATACGTTAAGGGGCAAAAAGGAGTACATAGCAGTATGGTAAAAAAAAAAAAGTAACGATTTCTAAGAATTACAAAAACATAGTAGATGCATGTATAGTTGGAATGAACCAATATAGTTCTGAGTCTGCTTGCCATCCTAATGAAAATGTTCATCCTTCAACTGAGTACTTGCTGTAAAACTTACTGTTCTGTGGTTTAGGAATAGCCTTTTTTTTTTTTTTTTTAAGGCACTGGGAATTGTTTTGGTGGTTGCTCTTTGGTGTTACTGATTTTTTTTTTTAAACATATGTAGTATGCATTTTCAGGGTTTGTTTTTTAGCCTGAGGATTATTTTCAGTAATGCTTAATGCAAGTTCATATCCTGTTGTGTTATTCTGCTATTTCCCCCTGGGTATGGAAATGAAATTGGTATATGTTTCTGTTCTTGTATATCTTCACAGTCAGAGCTTGTTCAGAAAAGAAATAACACTAATGCATTAAGCTGGTTCTTGAAAAAAAGGAATGTATCTCAGGAAGAAAAGCATGCTTCCATGACTTAAGTTACTTGGTCTTTCTTGTCTCTCTCTGCTATACAAAGGGGAAATTTCTCTTCATTTCTATTATATACTCCTGTATAGTATTTAGCATATTGTAGCTCAAATTTTAAGTTTGTATTGCAGTAATGTGTTTCTGTTACACAGATTTGTTTTTTAATATATAACTATTTACATACTTGGGTTCATGTAATTGTTTTAGTAAAATCATTTGGTTACCTTTTCTTAATATATTTTATCATAACTTTTTCTTTTCTCCTCAGAATTCTCTACTGTATGAGCTCTTTTCTGTTATGGTTCATTCTGGAAGTGCTGCTGGTGGCCATTACTATGCCTGTATAAAATCATTTAGTGATGACCAATGGTACAGTTTTAATGACCAGCATGTTAGCAAGGTAGAAACCATTTTGTTATCTTAAGTACCCATAAATGAACCAATGAGCTTGTATTTTTCATATGATTTTTCACTTGTGTTTAACAGTTGTTTCATTATCTTAAATGATTTGTAAATTTTCTGTTTTTTTTGTACATTGTAGTGAAGGGTAGGTATTAGATAGAATTACTTTCTTTAATTTTCTCTCCCTGCCCTTTCAGTTCTGCTTCCATCCGCTGTCAGTGCTGGTTACAAATTTTAGCCTCTATCTTTTTGAGGTTGGGGGCTTTTCAGTTCTCTTCCTCACACCCCCCACCCCTCCACCCCAAATTTTAGCATTGTGGTGTAAGTCAAAGAACAGTTCCCACTTGCAGGTAGCAATGTATATCAGCATGCCAATGTCATTTACTAGTTGTGAATTACACTGTGACACCAGTTTTCAGTGTAGCCCCTTCTGTGTGGTTTGTAGTTGCAAGTCAGATTTAATTTTAGTCCTTTTGTCTGAGCCATGATTTATTTCAGTCAGAAATCATGCAGTAAAACCAGAACGTAATAAGAGGTGTCTGGATGGTATTACAGCTGAGTCTACCTGGTTCAGTTGAGACCCTATAAGGGGAATATTCCCCATATAAGGGGAACAGTTAGTTGGTCTTCAACCTTTGATTGTTCTCCTGTTTATTCAGTTTCCTTGTGTTGCCTTGTTTTTTTCTGTAAGTGTAACGTAGGATATTCTTTCCATGACAATTTAAGTGTAGTTCTCCCTCTATTGTAAGAGAAACTTTGTAAGAAATAGGCTCCAACATACCAGGCCTTATGGTGAATTCTCATGACATGCCATAAGATGTTGATACTGAGGGAGGGATGATTTATAAAGAAGCCTTTATTCACATGCACACTGCTGGATTTAAAATTTAGCTTTCCTATATATGCTAAAAATACTTCCTTGTTTAGAGGAGTGTATTTGTAGATCTGTTAAATTCATAGTAAAATAAAGAGGCGGGTCACTTTGAATTGGATTTTTTTCACTCAGCAAATAAGCAGATCTGAAATACCTTTTTTTAAAAAATGATTAATATTTTATTGATAAGTAATGACATTTTTTCTAATGAGAATAAATGCATATTGATTATTGCTAGCCTCTCTAATAATAATAAACTGATTTTCTGTTAGATAACTCAGGAAGATATTAAGAAAACATATGGTGGATCTTCTGGAAGCAGAGGCTATTATTCCAGTGCTTTTGCCAGGTTAGTACTGCAATATTGAATTCTGGTGTTTAGCATAATCGAATGATTGACCAACATGCATGTACTTAACATGTTAGCTAAAAAATAAAAATGGATAGAATAGAAGATCATTAAAATAGTGTGGTGTTTTTGAAAATCATTTTTGCTTAGCATGTTACTAAGATACATACAGCATAGTTCTTTACGGGGTGGACAGGGGGACCAAACCAGCTTTTGAAATGAATGTTGTCCTTCTATCTGATAAATTCAGGTAACTTTTTTTTTTTTACCAGCTCCACAAATGCGTACATGCTAATATATAGACTGAAGGATCCAGCAAGAAACGCAAGTGAGTATGCTTTGCAGTTCTTAACTAATAAGATTCTACTTCAGGAATAGACACTAACATAGTGTCTCCCTAATTTTTTTGAGGATGGTGGTATCGGTATTTTTAGGGTAAGTTAAAGTAGTTTTCATTTAGGGAGCCTTCTACTACAGCTTTTAATTACTCTTTTAATAGCAAGCCCTTGTGATCATTAGGAGGCCATCGCAAACTAAACTGTTTTTTTTTGTTTTTTTTTTTAGTATTTTGTATATTGTGGATTTGAGAGACAAATATGCTGGGTGACATAAACTACAAATGTAACGCTGTACTAGTGCCTGCTTAATAATAGAATAAAAATACTGACTTTAAAATGAGTCAATAATGAGAACTTCTTAAATTTTTAAATTTTAAATGAGAACGTAATAATGACAGGTTAACATTTTATAACCAGACCTTATTTTTTGTTTGTTAGGAGGTAAGGGAAGATACTATAAACTACACAGTGAAAAACAGATTTGGGATTTCATGTTTTTTATGCCACTGATTTAATTTTTTTTTTAATTATGCCACTTATTTTTATGCCCTAATTTAGTACACCAAGTTTTAGAGGATGACTAACCCCATATAATAGTGGGCAGGCTGTTTATTCTTTCAAGTATGTCCCAACAGAAAATGAGAACTCTATTTGGTTTCAAAACTGGAATATCTCTTTGGAGGCCTAATTTCAAGATAATGAATTTAATAGGGTTAGATTAATTTCGTAGGGCTAGGTTGCTCATACTACTAATAACCATAATTTTTCAGAATTTGATTGTCTTTCGTGGATGTTTTTAAAAAATGTTTTTCCTTAAAAAAAAAATCCACGTTTCTCATTTAAAATCTGAGCATACCTAAATGTTGCAGTTGTAAGTGAAAGCTTGGTATAATAGAGCTTTTGGTTTTGAGCTGAGGTTGAATTCCAGCATTTGATGAATTGATCATATGACCTACTGGTGCATATATATGTGTGTGTGTGTGTGTGTATATATACACATATATGCAAAATTTTATGTCCAGTAGAGGAGGGAGTAAAAAATATCCTTAAAAATAGCATTTTGCTTATCTTATCTTGCTGCTGTAAATATTTTAAAGCGGACATGAATGGTTATGTTTCCATTCATTTTTTAATAAAATTTTGAATTGAACCATGATGCTGAGGGTGACTACTAGCGAGAATAAGGAAAGAATTTAGAAGTCCAAGGATAATTAAATTAGTTTTAATGACTTTTTTTTTAATACAAACTAAAAATCAAAGCTTAAGCTGAATCTATTGAAAAAATAAAACTAACAAGAGCTGTAACTGCTTCTATATCAGTATATTTTTAAATCTTTTGGAGTAAATATGCCATTTCATGCCAGCATCATAATAAACACAAACAACGTCTATTTTTTGCAGAAATCTATTTCACAAGACATGTTGTTAGGAATATTTCTCTTTCGCTGTTTTCTCCATAAAGTTGAACCATGATATTTTCTTTGAGGAAGTATGAAGGGAAAAAAAGCTAAGTGTCCCCTAAACTCAATTTTGATGACTTCTAAAAAATATATTTAAAGTAGCAGTATCTGAAGTAGATACTCTCTATAGGTTTGAAGTGGATTTAGCACAAGGAGGATACTGTTAAAGCTCTATATCAACTAATAAAATAGTAAGTATTAAGAAAAATAATAAAATTGTTTCAGTGTTTAAATGATTGAAACAATATTTATTCTGAACAAGAGTGACTTGTGTAAAGTTGTGTAAAGATTAAAAATAAATATAACTGATTTTAACACCAGTAAAGAAAATCTTTAAGTCTTTGGAAATAGATTTTCCCATATATTTTGAGACTGATAATTGCCTAACAAGCAAACGAAAAAACTAAATTCATTATTTCAGATTTCTTGTATATGCCAAAACCTTTTTTTAATTTTGAAAACTTGTTTGCTAAGTTGCGATAAGCATAGAACCAGTATTGTGAGACAACTGTTCTTTTTCAGTGTGAAGTATTGCATGTTCTTTTATGTAACAAATTATCATGAAGTACACTGAGCTGTATTAACTGCTGTATTTTATCACAATACAGATAATATTTTGATTTTAAGCTCTTTCACTTTCTACAACAGACCTTTATTAAAAAAGCAGTCTTGTGAGCAGTCATAATTATTAGACTATTTCTTTACAACAGTAAAACTTGCCTTACTGATACTGGAATATTAACTTTCTTGTGCCAATAGCATTTTCTGCTATAGCTGATTTATAATCCCCAAGGGAAAGGGCTGACTTCAGTTCCATTTAAATCATTAAAAAGGCAACAGGACATGGTTGAGTGGGAAGTTTAGGTGAAGAAGGAAGAAACCAATACAGTTAATTGTGTCTATAATTCCTAAGATGTTACCCTACAGTGGAAATTTTTCCTTTTTTTATTCCTGACAGAGTTTCTTGAGGCACATGAGTATCCAGACCACATTAAACAATTAGTACAGAAAGAGAGGGAATTGGAAGAACAAGAAAAGAAGCAACGGGAAATTGAGCGCAACACTTGCAAGGTTAGAATTTCCGCTGAATAAAGTAACGATACGTTTCTATGTATTGTTTCTACTAAAACTATAAATTCTTACTACAGTGCAAGGACTTTTTTGTGTTAAATATATGTGTATTAAAATTAAATGTACACCTACTGGAAACTTCTACAGAGTAGAGGAACCTGCTAGAGGTAATTAGAGATTTTTGAGTTATTTCCCATGTGAATATGAATTAGTGTTTAAAAAAAAAACAAAACAAAACTCTGGCCTGGGATCACTTAATTTCAAAAAATAAATAAATAAATAAATTCAAAATTCCCAGAAGTATGTAGTGCTTTATGTAAAGCATTTCATACTTAGATCTTTTCATATTGTAACCCTTTGTGTTGTGAACATTTTCATAAACTGACTTAAACTAATTCTTTGGCAGAAAGAGGGAAAAGATGTTTTTGACCACAGATTAGATAAGAACAGAAGAAGACACTTAAGACATACAAGCATGTCTGTCAGCTGGCTTTCCTAAGAATCAATTGACTATTAGGTTTTCTACATCTGTAAAATAACTTAGTGTGTTATGTAAAAACAGAATTTAACACTCATCGTCCCTGTGTGCGTTCTGTTTTGGAGGGAGTGTTTTAATATGTATGCTGCAGCATCATATCCCAGATTGCAAAAAGTTATACTTCTGTAGATATATATATATGGATATACATATATTTATGTATATTAATACATTTAATGTATATTAAATATTATATCTACACACGTAGCCAAAAATATGTGTATATGTTTATATATATATACACATGCACATTAGTGCTACCTACTGTGCCTTTCATGTTTCCTATCTGCAGTTGTATAACTAGATGAAAGGAATCTCTCCTACAGCTGAAAGCTAATTTCTGTATTTTGTTTCATAGATTAAATTGTTCTGTATGCATCCTACAAAACAAATAATGATGGAGAACAAATTAGAGGTTCATAAGGACAGGACACTGAAGGAAGCTGTGGAAATAGCTTACAAGGTATGCATAACAAAATAGTAAAATTGTGAGATGTAATATTTTCACACATGTTTTCTGCTGTTGTATCTTCAGTCTTTAAATTTTTAATGCTGTGGCAGTGTTTGTGGGTTTGGGTTTTGTCTTCACTTTTTGAAGAGGGGTTGGAATTATTGACTTGAGTTAGACAATATGACCCTTATTGTAAAATTACATTAAGAGCTGCTGGTAGACTCTCTGTAGCTTCAGTGAGTTGAGAGAATTCTGTTCATTTGTATTGTCCTAAGAATTTTGCATTAGATTTGTAATAAGAGAAATTTCAAGAAGCTTCCACTATAGCTAATACAGTAGCACCAGTTAGCACCAAAGTGTCACTTAATTCTTGCCTTCCGCAAGGAGGTAGAAGTTGAAGGCATGTATTTTTGCTTACCTACCTGTACTCTTTAGTTTTTGCCTTATGCATCTTTGGCTCAGAGTGCAGGCAAGGATTTTGAGTGGAAGATAATTAGTGCACATGACTTCATCAGCCCTCTAAGATGCTCTTTGGTATAACTGATACTTCTGGAGCCTGTTTTTACATTTCCCTCTTTGGATTTTCATGCAAGTTTCTGTGTATATAATTAAAGTCACGTGTATGTAACATACTGTATATGTACATGTTTTGTTCTAAACACAGTTGAACTTGCTGACAGGACGAGGGGGAATGGGCTAAGGTTGTGCCAGGGGAGGTTTAGGTTGGATGTTAGGAAGAACTTCTTTACTGAAAGGGTTGTGAGGCATTGGAATGGGCTGCCCAGGGGAGTGGTGGAGTCACCATCCCTGGAGGTCTTTAAAAGACGTTTAGATGTAGAGCTTAGGGGTATGGTTTAGTGGAGGGCTGGTTAGTGTTAGGTCAGAGGTTGGACTGGGTGATCTTGAGGTCTCTTCCAACCTAGATGATTCTGTGATTCATGGATTCAAAGTATTCTTGGATGTGCACATACTGAGGAAAAACTAAGTTCACAAGTAAGCCATTATTTTTTGTTTGTCTGTTTAGCTAATGGATTTAGAAGAGGCTGTCCCTTTAGATTGCTGTCGTCTTGTCAAATATGATGAGTTCCATGACTACTTGGAACGATCGTACGAAGGAGAAGAGGATACACCAATGGGTTTATTACTTGGAGGTGTCAAATCAACATACATGTTTGACTTACTGTTGGAAACAAGAAGACCTGACCAAATTTTCCAGTGCTATAAACCTGGTGGTAAGTCATGTAATTACATACAGACAAAAATAGGCAAAAATTATATATCGTGTGGTGGTGTGAAAATAAAGCTTGTGTAATGTAGGACTTCATTATGTTATGTGAGAGATGAAAAACTTTGATTTCATAAAATTTAGTACAGTACTCAAAGCACATACTGTGCTGTGTTGCTATTGTACTTCTTACTGAAGTTGGTCTAAAGTAAACTAAAATGTGTCAAACTTTGGAACGCTTTTGCTTCTGGCATTAAAGTTGATCTGAGAATTAAACTTCTGAAATTGGACACCTTTTAAAATTCTTTACTATTTGTATGTATTTAATGAAACCCCTTAGCAGACAACTGTATGTGTTTCCTTTGCCTTGTGAATTTTCTTCATACATCTGTGGGTTTGTTTTTCTTCTCTTCCCTACAGAGGTCATGGTAAAGGTTCACGTAGTCGACCTAAAGGCTGAATCTGTTGCTCCTCCAATAAGTGTACGAGCATATTTGAATCAAACCGTTTCAGAATTCAAACAGCTAATTTCAAAGGTAATTTACGATTGTTTTGGAATTTTATTGCAGAATTTTCAATCATTCTGATTGAAAATGTCATATGTATACAATTAAATTTTGCACCCTTTACAGCTCATTTATGCTGTGTATCCTGTCACAGGGTTTGGTTGGTTACAGTTGAGCCTGTCTGCCAAAAGGAGCAATCTGCTTCTTCTGCCCATAGTTCTACCCTGGCTTTTGCACAAGCTTAGCCACTGCCTGGCCCTGTTTCTTACTAATTTACCAGATAATCTGCTTTTTGGAGGAGCTAAAGAGTGAAGTTGATACTCATTTGGATTAGTAAGTTCAATCACCTCCCTGATTCATGCAATCAGCAGCAGAAATAGTGAATTGTTACCATATAACTGAAACAATGTGCAACTTTCCTTATTGGCTTCAGTAATTAAATTTGACATCTAAAGCTGTTCACAGTCTCCCTGCAAGCCCTCCTCTTCATCCCAGCAGCTACTTAAGATGTAGAATTATTTTTAGATGGTTGTAGGCCATGGAATCAATCTTAGTCCAACGCTGCTTCCGTTGAACAGGAAAAAGGCAACCATTTTACATATCTGTTCTGTGTAAATTTGTTCGGTGGTGGGTATAACTTAATGATATTCATTATGAAATGTAGTTTCTGTCTTTGAATTCAAACTGGCTAACTATTAAGCAAACAGTACACAAAACTTGGTTTACACCCTAAAGATTAGGACTGATTCCTTTATTACTAGTCACTCACATTACGCCAGTTCTCTGAGCCATTTTAGTCTTCTCATCCTATGGAAAAACTAACCCTTACTATGTGTCAAAGGATGGAGGAAAGGAACTGGGACTGAACAGGTTCAGGATGTTGGGATGTATTTCCACCTCCCACACACACACCCCTCCTTGGTCTTTGCAAGTCTTAAGTCAATAAACAAACCTTACCCTTTCCATATGATTAATCTTCAAATACTGGAACATCTATAATAATGCACATTACTTTACGCTGAATGTCTTATTTTAGGCTACACACCTGCCTGCTGAAACAATGCGGGTAGTATTAGAACGTTGCTACAATGACTTGCGTCTTCTGAATGTTTCCAGCAAAACGCTGAAAGCTGAAGGCTTTTTTAGAAGCAACAAGGTAGGTGCTGCAGTTCTTAAACTGTTCATGTATTTATAGACTTCACTGTTGTGTTGTAACAGGTAGGAATGTCCCTATGGAATTCATAGGAAAAGTCACTTTTTACTTTCCTCTGAAATACTGTGGTGCCAATGAATTCTGTAGGCTGTATATAAAACCTAGTGTATGTAACAAGGTAGCACATGTTCAAAATCAGAAATCTGTGTGATACTTTGTGGCTAGAGTAATGGCTAAAAACTTTACAATGGAGATTTAAAAGTCAACTCTTAGGGCAAAAGGGTTGGCATATTACTATGAAACCCAAATTGTTTTTAAACGTTCTTAACAGCTATGCCTGCTCTCAGAGCTAAAGTTTTTAATAGGCAAATTTCAAAGCTAAGAGCAAGTTTTTGGTGGGTCTTCATCTTAAATTCACAGTAATTCACAGTAATTTTTACTGTGTAAATCTCCCTAGCCAAATCTATACTTTCTAAAAATCTTTTGAGTAAATGCTTCCGATTATAGTTGTATAATAGAATTCTTCTGTTGGACGGGACCTTCAAGATCTAGTCCAACTGCCTGAGAACTTCAGGGCTAACCAAAAGTTACAGCATGTTGAGGGGCTGCATTCAGAAGAAGAGTAACTTGGTGCTTAAATAATATTTGTCATTAAATGGCATCTGTAGTGTTGGTCTCTTCACTATAATAGCAATAGCACATCTAGCAGTTTTGAATATCATTTGGGTTTGAAATTAAGGCTGAAGATCACAGTATCCTGGATGAGCAAAAATTAGTGAAAGCCTTAGTTTATAATTCAGCAAAACAGTGTCATTGACTTGCTATTCAGTTCAAAAACTTGAAAAACTTTAAAAAAAAAAAAAAAAGTTCAAAACTTTTCGCTTTCACGTGGTGGTCTTTGGAAAGAAAAAAGAGAAATTTGGTCTCTTGTTTTCTAAGTTGCCCTGTTGTTTACCCATGTACGCATTTAAATATTTCTTTTTTATGATGCTATACTAGGAAATAAAGACTATCTGTAGTTGTTGGCGTCACTACTATTGTAATTAGTGTTACTGTACAGATGAAGGGTGTACATGGAAGTGATACCCGAGTACACTTTGAAACATAAAGCTTCAATTTCCAAATAGTGCTTATTGTAGATGGTCGGTTTGGTTACAAGTCACTCCAATCTTAACATGACCATGAAAGTAAGGAAAACTAAGCTATGGACTTCTTAGTTTCTGTCTCTAAAAATCTATTTTAAAATGGTTGCTAAAAGATGATGTTGCTTATTGACATTATTTCTAATGTGCGCTCAATCCTATCTGTTTGCTTTTGTAGCTTTTAATGTAGTACTACATGATAAAAACACTGCTGTTTTGTGTTCAGGTATTTATTGAAAGCTCGGAGTCATTAGATCATCATGTGGCATATACAGATTCTCATTTATGGAAACTTTTGGATCGTCATGCAAATACAATCAAATTATATGTTTCATTACCAGAGCAGTCTCCTGGATCTCAGTTTAGACGTTCAATTTATCAGAAGCCTAGTGGAGATTCAGGCAACTTGGATGAAGCTTCTGAAAGAGTAAAAGGACCTGTAGGCAACATGAAATCTGTTGAAGCAATTCTGGAAGAAAGCACTGAAAAGCTTAAAAGTTTGTCCCTGCAGCAGCAGCAAGAGGGTGACAATGGAGACAGCAGCAAAAGCACAGAAGCCAGTGATTTTGAAAATATTGAATCACCTTCAAATGAAATAGACTCATCAGCATCAGCAGAAAACAGAGAACTTGAAAACCAAATTCAGATTTCTGATCCAGAAAACCTTCAGTCAGAGGAAAGGTCAGATTCGGATGTAAATAACGATAGGAGTACGAGTTCAGTAGACAGTGATATCCTTAGCTCTAGTCATAGTAGTGATACTTTATGCAATGTGGACAATGCCCCAATTCCCTTGGCTAATGGACTTGATTCTCACAGTATCACAAGTAGTAGGAGATCCAAAGCAAATCAAGGGAAGAAAGAAACCTGGGACACAGCAGAAGAAGATTCTGGAACAGACAGTGAATATGATGAAAGTGGCAAGAGTAGAGGAGAAGCACAATATATGTACTTTAAGTCAGAACCCTACACTGCAGATGAAGGTTCAGGAGAAGGGCAAAAATGTATGTATTTTTTATTATTAAATGCTTTAAATGATAGTAAAGTCTAGATTACTTTAATATGCTTTGTTTAAAAAGTCTAATGAAAGCCTTGAAGTTTTATTTTTAATATGTAAAATTAACTTTTATTAAAGTGCAAGGATGAAGTGTGGTGTCATGGTCAGTTAAAATCTAGCTTAATTTTGGTCTTTCAGTCAGTGATTTGTACTTAAACTGTATGTCTTTTTGTTCTTAAGAATTTAAGTTGCATCTATCTAAGATACATCTGTTTCCTTCTATAGAAGGTATTTTCTGAAGAACAAGCTGAGTTGTCTCCTAGTGAGAGGAAAAATGATTGCATTTTCTGGGGATGATTTGCCCGTTTCAGAATCAAGTTAATTACTGTGGTTCACAGAGCATTAATTCTGTTAACATTTAGATCTAAAAAACTGCAAACTCAAAACTGAGAATTCAAATGTAATCAATACTGATGTACTTGATATTGATCATATAATTCAGTAGACTGTTGCTTTTACATTGATTTAAACACGATAGGTACAATGAAGCAAATTGAGACTGTGATTGTATAAGTTCAGTGTAAAACCCTAAGTACTTTAATTTTCATTAAAAAGATAAAATTTTAAAACAATGCTCAGTAGCTATGTATGTTTTATAATTAACATAAGAGTAATTAAAGAACAACAGGATATAAGATAAATATTTTGAAAGGCAAAGGTTTTCGTCTCAATCCAGAAATCCTGATGTAACAATTGATAAGGAATATTTTTGTCATTTTCTTTGTAAAGAAACATTTTCATTTTTCAAGTTACATTGAGAGATTTGATAGCAACTACTTAAATAATTTGAACAAAATGTCTGATGGGAGGACTTTTCTTTGTGGCTAATCTTGAGCTACTTAAATATGAACAGGTTTATAATTTAGTTAATTGTTCATATAGCAAGCTATGTCATACTGTATTTCTAATTCCTAATGATCATAGTGTGCTTTGTGGTGAAGTCTATATTGCCAATATTAAGAAACACATTTTGTAAAGATAAATCACTTACTTTGTTTCAAAATTTCACATAACCAGAATGTTTCTTCCGTATGTTAATAATAATAAAAAAAAAAAAGACTCAGTGAAAAAATTCCTTAATGTAAACTTGAGCTTCCCTTGTGGTACCACGTGGCCTTCCAGAACAGAGAACCAAACTTTTTAATCCTGAAAACAAGAGAAGAATTTGTGGCTTGTGCCTAGCCAGCCCTAACTCAGATGTGCTGAGTTAGATGTGCTGATTCTGTGTATCTCTCAAGACAGTGGAAGCCTGTAGGGAGTTATCTGCAAATGCTCTGTGTGATTGACTCTGTAGTCTTAGTGAAGCAAAGTTATGTATTCTTTATTCAGTACTTCACCGATTGAAAACCAGGGCAGTTTTGGGACTGCTTAGTCCTTTCAAGGCTGTCAGCCTGTGAACATGTGAAATACAGCAAAGCTTGTAAGGATTACAGTAAAACCTTCATCAGATGAAATGTAAATGTGGCCATTAACTAGAATTTCAACTTCTCTGTACTGTTTTGCTTCAAGTAATGACTGAATATATGGAAGTCATATTCTAGAATGCTTTTTTTTTTTTTTTGTATCTCAGTGTTTTATGCCATTTTCATCTCAATTTTTACTTAGGGTTGATGGTACATGTTGATAAAAGAATTACACTGTCTGCCTTCAAGCAACATTTGGAGCCCTTTGTTGGAGTACCATCCTCTCACTTCAAAGTCTTTAGGGTCTACGCCAGCAATCAAGAGTTTGAGAGTGTTCGGCTCAATGAGACGCTTTCATCGTTTTCTGATGACAATAAGGTTATTCAGAAGTTATTTTGAATAATTAAAAATACACTGGTACAATATTCCCAATTAAATAACTTAATTTACAACTTTTAATTACTTACAAGGTTAAATCACTACATTAGTCTTGATAGTGATACAAAATGTAATTTTGTTTGTAGTTACTAACAGATACTCCTTCCTCTTTATAGATAACTATTAGACTTGGAAGAGCCCTTAAGAAGGGTGAATACAGAGTCAAAGTCTATCAGCTTTTGGTAAATGAACCAGAGGTAAGGCGTTGATAATTTCAAGATGAATAGCAGTTCATGAAAGTTTTATGAAGTGCTTTAGCCAAGACTTTCTCAGAGATCTTGGAGAGGAAAAAAAGAATGCTATTTTCTCTCTACTTTACTGTAATTTTTTCTTGATTATGTAAGGGAATTAGAGGCTGTTTTTGTTCATGTTACTCAGTGCATGCAGCTGGAATGTGATCTATAGTATGCTTTTCAGATGTTTTTATTTCTACAATGTATATAGAGGACAAATGCAAATAACTTTTTCGTTAAACTTATGAAAGTTGTGTGTTATTCTTTCCAAATCAAAAACTGTTTTTGTTTATTTTTGCAGTTTTCAATAATAAAGTACAAATATAATTTGTTACAATCATGGTTGGCAGGCAGTGCTTATTGGTAGATGTGGTAGGTTAGCTAGATACTCCTCTTTCTGTATAAGACAATCCTGAAGGAGTGCTGGAAACAATATTGTCTCTCTTGTCATAATGCAGCTCACTTGTAGCATCTTTTGGGACATGAAAAGTATAGCTGTTGGTTTTACTCTACAGCAGTCTTTAACTTACTGAGCCCTTAAATTCTGATTTTACATTTTGGATAAAACTAAAAATTATATATTAATAAATCATAAGAGACTGAATCTGTGCTGGTAATAGCAGGCAATAAGAATAGTTTAAAAATTATTTCCGATCGTGATGTTCTGGTCTATCTTACTAATGAAACCCAAGAAAGTGGCATATTTATTACAATAATCCGCTCATTTGAAAATTTAAAAGCTCTTTTCAAATTGTTTAAAATGTTAATATAATGGTAGCAATTAGTAATTCAGAGACCAGACACTACTTCTGCAGTGGCTTGCCTTCGGATTTAGACTGTCAAAACATGGTTGATACACAATTTGATCCTAATTTTAATCAGACTACCTTGTTTACAAAAAGGCATTGTAATGATCTTTTAGCTAGGTAAATGGGACTGGTCTCAAAACATGATCAGAAGGCAAATTTATGTATTTTTTTCCTCTTCTAATAAATTCTTTAATCATTTGCTATTTGTTTATAGCCATGCAAGTTTCTTCTAGATGCGGTTTTTGCTAAAGGAATGACTGTCCGACAGTCAAAAGAGGAGCTGCTTCCTCAGCTTCGAGAACAGTGTGGCCTGGACTTAACGACTGACAGGTAAAGAGACTGCAGTCAGGGTTGAAGTTAATTGATTAAATATAACTTTAAAGTTTATTTCTTCTCCAGTGAGAGAGAGGATATTAGGAAAGGAGCAGAAGCAAGTTACTGTGGTATTTGGATCTGTGAATTGCAAGCATCAATTTAGCAATTCTTGGTTTTCATCTCATGTAGAATTATAGAGAGAATAATATCTGTGTAGAAATGCCTGTGTACAACATAATTACAGCTTTACATCTGAGAAGTTTTGTTCCATGTAAGAACTATTTTCTTCAGAAAGAAGAGCGATAAGTACATGTAAGTCAGTTCACAAAAAAGCATTCTTGACTCCAGATGCAGGTCCAGTGTAAATCACTGCAGCAAAACTGTTTAATGCATTATCGCGGGGTTTGATTACGGTACCATCTTTCTACTCCTTTGTCCATAAAGGGTATCAGTTATCTCATTGAGGTTGAACTCATTTTGAGGTCTTGATTCCGCATACTCCTTGCTGTCAATTTCAAGTTCTGTCGCATGTACTGTGTATTACCTGACATGCTGTATTAATTGGAATTAAGAAAAACTTGTGAAAAAAGTACGATCTGGTAAGCAAGCTGCTGGGGCCTTAACATATGCGTGAAGTCAGGCTGCAGTGAACCCTGGATGACAAAGTGGTCCTTTCCTGCTGAGATAACAAATAGAAACCTAGATGTGGACCAGGTTTTTCTCCTTACCACACCGTGACTTGGCCAAAGGATTTTTGTCTGCCATGCTAGAGTTATGTTGTCTAATGCCCTATAATTATAGGGCACGTGACAAAATATGACCACTTCTGTGCAGGAAAATCATTGCAATTAATTTTTTACTTTGTTTAATCTCATTTTAGTTATGTCATTTACCAGTATTCAAAGCTTACTTATTTTAGCTTGTGACTGTATTGATGCAGTAGAACTAAGTACATAAACCAGATACCAGTGCTCTTATCCTCCTCCTCTCCACTTCTTCCACAATCACATCCAAAAAAAAAAAAAAAAGGCAGGGATAACTGTAGGAAGCCTTTGGGAATATTCTGCTTATACTGCATGAGAAACTGTTACCTTCTTCCAGGTGGTCCTTTTATATTTCTTGCACTGATCAAACATATACAGGTTTGTTTTCTTTGGTTGATGCAGCACTACCAGCCAATGGTGATACCTTGCTGTCAGGATAATTTCAGAATGTTAAAATCTTACCTGATAAACCTAGTCCAAAAAATAATAATAAAAATCAAGTTTTAATTCTGTGGCAGTGCTAAGTGGTTTTGAGCAGATAAAAAATTACTATTTTCTCCCTCATTTATTTGCAGGTTTCGTCTACGAAAGAAAACCTGGAAGAACCCAGGCACTGTGTTTCTGGATTATCATATCTATGAAGAAGATATCAATATTTCAAGCAATTGGGAGGTCTTCCTAGAAATACTTGACGGTAATAATTATATACTATGAAGCGGAAAGTAAAGATCGTGTTAGCGATTTCTTTTTACGTAGAGAATATTGGAAAATATGCTTCCCTTTCTCTATTTTTAAGTCTAATAATACTGAAATTGTAATAGCATTTCATTAGGGAAAAAAAAGAGAAGAAGCAAAAGAACTCAAAGCTTAGCATGAAGTTATGGGGGTTGTATAAGTGTAGTTTTCCTTTGGCTGTGATGCACTGAAGGTCTAACAACATTATCTTATGTAGTTGTTTGGAAACTAGTGGACATACTGTAACACAGTATGCAGTTTTGTGTTTTCATTGCACTTAAAGGTAGCTGTATGTTTGCCTATACCTTATGCTTTATTTGTATTTAATTTTTGAACTATTAGTGGTGACATTTGTAAATGTGTGCATGTACGTATATAAATTCTATAAGGCAGCACAATTGTTCAGTAACTTAGTTTTCAGACAAAAGTGGAATAAAGCCACACGTCTTCTGTTATAAATTGATAATTTTTTGAACAAACCTCACTCATCAAAATAGTTTTGGACTTAAATTTTAGAGAGCAGATTTATTTTTTTAACATTTGCTTAAATATTACTAAAAATACAGCATTTATGTTACCTTTGTATATACCCTTAAATTTTGGATTCTGTATGCAAAAGCATAATTTAAGGGGAAAAAAAATAGGCCAACCTGTTTCCCCTTTTACATGTCTGTTGAGGGGTAGATGTGGAATGTGTATTCCATTTGCTCAGAAACTTTCACAAGCATACCTGCCTTAAGGAAGTCTAATAGAACTGTTATTCCAGTGCCATAAGCTTTCCTGGACAGCTGTAGTCAGTCATGGTATTACACATCTTTAAGAAAATTGTGTCAAAACAAATATAAGAAATTGAAATGAACGTGGGAGGTTCAACAGGAGGTTCAATCCTGTAGATTATTCCTAAGGAAATATCTATCAGCTCACACCTGAATTAAAATTTCAGTTTAATTTTTTATTAGTTTTAGGTTCATTGTTCTGCTCTTTGTGTGGTGAGTTGGGTCTTGAGGTAACTACTTTTTAGTGCAACTCGCTTAGTTCACAGAATATTATAGTTAATATTGTTTTATAGACTACAGGGCTTCCAAGTATTCTGTAGTATTTTGTGTAACTAAGGCTTTTCAAACAGCATGCTACTTTGATCTAGATATGTAGTGCAGTCTTCCATATTTTAATATGCCTATACTATGGAAAACCCTTAATTTTAAATAATCTATTTTGTGATGTTAATATAATATATTTCTTTCTCTTTCTTAGGAGTAGAAAAGATGAAATCCATGTCACAGCTTGCAGTTTTATCAAGACGATGGAGACCATCAGAGATGAAACTAGATTCTTTCCAGGAAGTCGTGCTAGAAAGTAGCAGTGTTGAGGAATTGAAAGAGAAGGTAAAACTCCTAACACGATGCAAGTTTATTGTGATTTCTGAAAGCCTTTTTGATGTCTTCTGTTGGGAAGCACAGAAGTATCGTAGCTACATAAACTTGTTCCGTGGTTATTGTATTTTATTTTTTTTCAGGAACTTAGAATGTCAATTTCTGTCAGCAAAAACATATGAATCAGCACCTTTACTACTTAGTTTCATGTAGCAGGCAGTTGTCAGAGCATTCAGGTGAACACATGCAAAAAAAAGTCATACCTTGAACTTTAGGAAGCATAATATTGAACTCAACCTCTGTCTCATCCTTGAAAAACACATGAAAGAAAAATTAAACTATTGTCATCCTGTTTTTTTTCCAAGCTATTCCAAAATTATTCCAAAATACTAAACCTTAGTGCCTCATTATATTTGAATTTGACCTGTTGTTCAGAGACAGTGTAATTGTAGCAGGTAAATTGAACTATATTTGAATTAGAAATAAATATGGGATTAGTATGCATTTTTCTCTTAAGATCAGAACCTTCTAATAAGCAAGCAGATGTACTATGCTAGCAGAGTATCTCACTGAGAATTTTTATTAGTCTAGTTTGTTGCAGGCTTCTTAAAAATGGTTGTTTATATGTAGTAATACCAAGATGAAAGAAACCCACCGTGGATGGTGATGACAGCAGAAATCCTATTCATCATTTATAAGATAGGGGTTTGTATATATGCTGGGAAAAGGAACATCATTCAGCTTTTGTCTTCATTTTTAGCAGAAGTGAGAGTTGGCTTTTCCTTTCTTGCAAGGAGCAACTTTAAAGCCTCTTGGAAGGAATGCTGCTAATTTTTGCTCACATCAGTAATTTGAATTTGACACATCTGTGGTAACAGTCAGCTCTCCATTCAGCCAAATTCTGTTAGCAGAGTAAGGCTAATGTGTTTCAGGATTTTTTCTATATTTTGTTAGTATTTTTTTTATTTAGCCTAGTTTCCTAAGGAAAGGGGAGTTGGAAAATTTTACTGGCTGTTAGTCTTTTTTCATTGATTTCATGATGAGAACAAACACATCTGTTTTGACAGCAGAGTTTATGGAGGCAAGAATCTTAGAAAGGAGATCCACAAATTTTGGGGGACTAAGAAGCCAAGGATAAAAATCTATCTAATTTAGTGTGTGCATTGCCATGGGCACAAGACTGCGGCCTGTACTTCAACTAAGGGCCAGGCAGCGATAAGCCTGTGTGCACCATGCAACTGCTCAACAAAGGTGACATCACTGCAGCCACTCAAGGCAGAGCTGTGTGATCCTGTGAAGGGTGCTAGGGCAGGGCAGTAGGAGGGAGACAGGAGGGATGATGCACCCTGTGCACTCAGAGATTGTGCAGGGAGGAGAGCAGTTAAAAGTGCTTGTTGGGTAAGGGGTGGGTGGGTATCATGGTAGGGAGTGCAGGTGTATGTAGATGGAATTTAGGCATACAAATTTTGAATTCAATTGCTTTCAGATCCACCTGATCGTAGTAGCTTTCCTTGGATACAGCGAAACTGACAAAGACCTAGACCTGGGTGTAGAGGTTTAAAGTGAGGCAGCTGGTTACTTTGTATCATGGAACTTGGATGTTATTGTTTCTATTTTAATTTTTGTCACCTCCCTGTAAAGAGACAAACTTGATGAAACTCTGTCACAGCAAGTGTCACTTGTGTGACATTGTAATTTGAAAAATACCTACTTCTAGATTTGACAGGTCTATTGACTTAATGTAGATTTGGCTAACACTGATTTGGAATAATAAATCAATCTTTTTTTTCCACTTCACAGCTGAGTGAAGTAAGTGGAATACCCTTGGAAAATATAGAGTTTGCAAAGGTAAGTATTTTTTTTTTTAACACTTTATTGGCGTGAATGTGTGACTGTATATTGTACTCAGTAAATAATTGCTTCTTCTCAGGGTAGAGGAACGTTTCCTTGTGACATTTCCATACTAGAGATTCACCAGGATTTGGACTGGAATCCTAAAGTATCAACATTGAATGTCTGGCCTCTGTACATTTGTGATGATGGTGCAGTAATATTTTATAGGTATGTATTTTATTACAGTATAATAATGCAAAAAATCTGTTTAAGATTTGAGGGGTGATGTAATCAATAGAAGCTTAAAAATATCCTTCATTTTTCTTGAAGGAAAAATGCTTCTGGTAGATGGTTAAAACCATTGAACTGGAATATGTATGCGTCTCTATTTCCTACAAAACTGTTTTAAGAAAACAAACACTGTGCCCTTTTACTCACTTCTTCCTCACAAATCATTGAAAATAATACAGAATACAAAAGATAGTTGCTATGCTTGAGTGTGTATCTGGATTTAATCTCTTGAAGTGGAACCATATCCTTACTGGAGTCTGAGGGTCATGATAGGCATTAGAGAGCAACAAATTTATGTTCTGTGAATGTTTGTGAAATCAGCGTGGTTTCTTTAGAAAAGAGGCTACCAGGATTAAAAATTTTAAAATGAAAAACATTAATTAGCTGACAGCAGTAGCCCAGAGGCAGTTTTTGAGGACCAAGAGCTTTAATATTGTAATTTCTGCTACACTTGGAGAGTGAGGGTGGAATGTAATTAACATGTTCCTTCTACAGTACTACTCGTAACGTGAATTTGAGGAAATGCTGGTTGATAACATACTGGCCTTAGTGAAGAAAATTGGGAGAATAGCTGGTAGTTTCTAGTAATGGCTGGCTGACATGCTGCTTCTACTGCTGGGGCTGTGACAGGATAAAGAACAGTCACTCATAGTTGTTTACAAAGAATAGGAGTAATCAGGTAGACTGAACAAAGGCTTGTTTCTTGCTGCTTTCTGTTGAGTCTGCTGTCAGTTAAAATACTGAATGTTGCTGTTAGAAAAGCAGTTTTGGATTAATGTTAGTCAATGGAGAAGAGGAAAAGTATTTGCATGGAATATTACACTTTTGTTACTTTACTAGGCTGCTCTAACAGGAGAGAAAATACAGAAATCTAATTGTCATTGTATTAAATTTAACAGCTTTTTAACGTATATTCATTTGTAGGGATAAAACTGAAGAATTAATGGAATTAACAGATGAACAGAGAAATGAACTGATGAAAAAAGAAAGCAGCAGGCTCCAGAAAACTGGACACCGCGTAACCTACTCTCCTCGTAAAGAGAAAGCACTAAAAATATATCTGGATGGAGCACCAAATAAAGATTTGACTCAAGACTGATACTCGCTATAGCATTTTCCCTGGGGAATTTTTTTGTTCAAAATAAGAAGGTTCACTACTACTGTGTAGTGCCATTACGGCAGGACACTCATTAGGTGTAAAGCGCTGACACCAGCACTGATTGGGCTGTGTTACCAATCAGAAGTGCAGTGCCCTGTTGGGTCACTGTTTGACTTGGAATCATGTTGTGCACTATAGTCAAATGTACTGTAAAGCTAAAAGGGATGTGCAAATAAAAGATTAGAACTAAAAAGTGGGTGGGGAGGGAAATGAGTGGAAATTTTTTTTGAGGACAGTGTGCACATAGTAGCTAGTGAAACTAGCCTCAAACAGGCTACTCATAGCTTAATAATAAAAGCTGTGCAAAGGCCATGAAAGAATCCTTTTGTTTGTTTCACTGATACACACATTACCTCATCAGACAGTCTGAAGTAAATGTTAACACATTGGTTATGGAAAAGCAGCAAAAAAGGGTTTAAAAATGTAATGGAAGCGCTACAAGCGTACAGGTCTTGAGAATGTTTTCCCATAAAACGGGTGGTCTGAGAGGTTTGTAGAAAGCTGTCAGCCAGGGTTACTTCGTTTTTGCAGAAATGCTGTAGAAAGGTAAATTTGTTTTTTAACAGGTTACAGAAGCCCGATGAGCAGCTCTATTATATTGCATCCAATGTGTAAATAAAACTTGCCCTATCCATTTAACAGAACTGCAGTTCAGCTATTTACCATGGTATTTCTTTTCACATATCAACATTCATTGTGTACATTTGAAAGTGTAGTTACCTATTTAAATTTGTATTCCTTTTGTTTGATAATGCTGGGTACTTTAGGGTTGTATTCCCCTTGTTAATGAAGTTTTTTGTTTTGTTCAGCTACTCTTTTGTACATTTTGTTTTTGAGACTATTACAAGTTCACATCTTCTCCACCTGCTGAAAGTAATTTTATTTTTTCCTGGAGTTGATTCCATAGCTATTCGTAGTCAAATATGGGGGCAATCTCTAACACCTCAACATATAAACTTGGTATTTCAGGTTGTGGTGCAAAGACTTATGCAGTCAACATGATTTCATTGCAAAGCCTAGGAACAGCAATTTTTTGCTTTGATCCATAAAGATCAATAGAGAACAATTCTCCTTAGTTTTTGAAGAAACACCTAATTTATAAAATCAAAAGATTTTGGTAAACTTTTTCATGCCAGATGCTGTTTACAACAATGAACATGCCAATAAAACCTTTGTTCATTCTGTTGCATTTTAGTCATTAAATGTTGTGGTTTTTATTTGAAAAATGGCAGTTATTTCATGGACATAGGCTTTTCCAAGGCAATGCCAGAATTTTAAGTCTGTATATTTGTGTATATATGTGGACATTCCATACACAGAGTATTATGGGAATTTGTAGCCTGTCTGCTGTTCCCCCGGATTTATATTCGCACTGCATTTTTTTCAGTTGTTTTCTTTTCAGAATTTAATTCCATACCAGTGAAACTGCTAGGCTTGGGATATGATTGGCAGCTAAGTTTTGGTCCAGAGAGAAAAAAAAGGAGTCTGAAGAACCGAACTGGTTTTCTGCTTGCTGATGCACAGTAACCTAAAAAGCCTGAGGAATCCAGCAGCCTGAGAGCCAGGCACTGCTGCACAGAGGAATTCCCTTGTTCTTCCTTTTCTGTTGAAGCTGTGACACTTCATGTCCCACACAAATGAGATGGAAGCAGAAGGAAACACGGTGTGAGTACCACCCAGTAGGTAGAATAGCTTCACTGAACTGCCACTTATGTGTGTATAGGCTGCTGAGGAATCCTTAGAGTTGCTGGAAGAAGTAGAAGTAGTAGTAACTAAAGAATACCAAAAAATTGCTTCATCTTTAGCCCCTTTTAGGAAACTTTAGTTAAACACTTTTTTTTTTTTTTTTTTTTTTTTTAAATAAATTTTAACCCTGTAGGTCTTGATTGAAATTTGGATAGAGGACAGAGAGGCATCTTTATAATGATTACCTCTCCAGTGGCACAGTTCCTTCTGTGTATTTGTATTGGAATATATTCTGGGTTATCCGGGGAGATACTTAGCAGCATCAGCTTTACATTCTGATAATTATGAATTTGTGCATTTTAAAGAAACAAAAATCCCTTGAGTTTCTAATTAGTAAGATTTCTGCAGAATTAATCTGATTTCTGATAAAGTCAGGGACTGAGGCATCAGGATACTTGAAGGGACTATAATGGTATCCTTATATAGGGTAGTATTTATGGACAGTCCTTGCTTTCTTGAAGTACTGTTTTTAACAGGAAAATCGCAATGAAATTTAATGCCTTCTGATTGTATAGAAGGGTTGTCTCTAAAGCACTGGAATTTTGCTTGGGATAGAAGGAAAGGTAAATTCATGGTACCATGTCAGAGAACATGTGTATGTGTTGGATTGAGACTTGGTGGTAGGAAAGAATCCTTAAACTAAAAGCCAGGCTGTTCTGATGAAATAACCTTCTTGTCCATAATGATCTTTGTTCACATTAATTCTGCCACACAAGGAATTTATTGAAAAGCTTTCACAGACCTGAAGTGGTGAAAGACTTGAAGGCTAGTAGTGCAGTCTGCAACTCGTTAAGTTATTGATGCTCAGCAGTTCAGATTAGACTTAAGCAGCAGGGGATGGTATTTGGGAACAAGCTCCATGAAAAATTATTTGTCTGGAGCCTCATGACATCTTTCAACATGTCCAATGATAGTGAAATCTGTACATCCAAAAATCATTAATGGTATAAAAGCCATCAAAGCAAATGGCTGAAATAGCTGGGAGCCAGGGCGTTTGATGGATTAGATTTTGCTCTTAGCTTGATACTGATTTCTTATATCAATGACTTGTCAACATGGTACTGATGATATTCATATTTTGTTACAGACAGATTGTAATACCTATGAAGTGTATTAAAAGCATGAAACACCTTAAGAATCTTCTCTGAATGTACATAGTCAAGTGGGAGAAGTATAAATCTCTGAACATGAACAAGAAGCAATCTAGGTTGACTCACTGCTCAGAGTAATCAGTTTGTTCGCTGCCTTTATCTCTCAAGAAGACTAAGTGAAAACAGAGCGCAGTGTACAGAACCCTCAATTGATCTTACGCAAGAAGGTGTGTTCGTAGCACACACAGTGGCACTGTATTTAGCTCTAACTTAGGAACAGCCTTGTAACTACAGTTGAGCTATTCTTCTATATATTGGTATGTATATATTTAGTGTACAATGGGAATCAATATTCCTTGTATTCAGCCCATTTAGCTGTTTTTTCTGCAATTTTAAATAATAGATTTTGCCCTTGAGAGATAAAGCCCTGAGCAGTCAAGTTTAAAGCTCCTATACAGAAAGCAATTTGTTCTTGTATGCATATAAGTGCATGCTTATATGGGAAAAATAGACTTTTTCTAATGCAGTGGGGTCATACTTCCTTATGTAAGTACAAAACTCAAGGGATATACTCTGTAGCTATGGAACACCATTTTTCAGTCATACTGAAGTTTGCTGCAGAACAGATGACTTCCATTGTACACAGCTGAAAACTAGGTATATTCATCTAAAAAGGTAAGCAGCCTTTCTTTCCATCCTTCCTCCCAAGATGTGTGTGGTGGTGGTGGGGAATATAAAATCTGTATGTTGCAGCTTCACCTATCACATTTCCTATAGGAAAAACAAAACAAAACAAAACAAAAAACAAAACAAAAACAAACAAACAAAAAACCACTGAAACAGCGTAAAATAGATGTTCTTGTTCCAGAAAAATAAATCCAAATATATGTGCAGGAAATACTCAAAGGTAGCTTGTATAGTCCTTATTAATTTAAGATTATGTATGTTTGTTTGTGTCTTTTAATGAGTACAAGTTCTGATATATTTATTTCTACTGTACTAGGGAAAAGTACTAATCCAAAAGAAACACTGATATCTTATTTGTCTTTGGAAGGTTTTGTCCAAAGATGGAATTAATTGAACAAGAATTTGTACATGCAGGTTTGCACAGAAAAGGATGCTTAATGAAGATGATGTTTATTGCACTTCTATCCAGCAGTATGTATTGTTCATATAAGCAAGACACTAGACAAAAAAAAAATCTAGAAATAACTAAACTGGAGTTTGGACTTTATACCTCATCTCCCAGGAATGGGTCATGAGCTGAATCAGGCTCAGACTTCAAACCCACTTGGTCCTCCAGACTTTCTAATTCTTTACGTACTTCCTGAATGACACTGCTCTCTTCATAATCAGATAGAATATCTCTGGGTATCAAACTCAGAAATGGCATCTCATCCATGATCGAGGGATCTTCTTTTTCATTGTTTCTGGTTTCATTGGAGGACAGTTCACACACAGATGTAGTACTGTGGCTGTTGAAAAAAGAAAAATACCTGGTCATACAGTACATTTTTCATGTTATTTTTGTTAGTTCCTTAATACGATTTTTCTTTTTCTCCACACATGAAAGCACACATGAAAGCATTCTAGGTGCATAAGTTCATCTATGGTGGGTCTGACAATTTTATAATCTGATTATTACATGCTTGACAGCTGGAGAGTTAAAATGAGATTTCTACATACAGTTGGAGCCAAATTCTTAATAGCATAATATGTTTGATATTGGGACACAAGATGGCAGTGGACCGCAGCACAATCTGTCCCTTCTGCCACAAGCAATCTTGACTAGTCCTTTCTGTTAGTCGTAATACCAAGTTAAGATTCTATAGTTTAAAAGGTATGCAAAAAAAGTCAGTGTTTGTCATTGAAGTAGAAAGAATTGGGCACAGAAGGAGAGAGACTTTAATCTACATATAATTTACATCTCTATCACAGCTTAGCTGTCTTATTAGAAGTTAAAGCAATGAAAATAGCAGTGGAGTAACAAACTTGGGGAGTTTATTACACAGGTAACACACAGGTGTTCCAAGAATGCTTGTAGTGCAAAACTGAAGTGATCTCACTTTTTCCTAATGGAACTGTTAATAATGCAAATAACTGTTCTTTTAAAGAATAATTAAAGCCATGACATACTAATGTTTTAGCTTCTAGCAGAAAAATATGGGGTCAATCTGCTGAATGTTCCATGAAACTCAACAATAATGCTGAAAAGGTCTGTTACAGTATGAAGTGTTTTAAGTCTGAACAGCAAATCTTAAGTAGGAAAACTGGTTTCTCAGGCTAGTTTGAAACTGAAGGAAAATATAAGCAAAGCTACCTGTTTTTGCTATGTTAGAAATGACCTGTAAAGCTAATCATTAGTACAGAAACATGCCTGTTCATACCTGCTGCATGTTTCTGTTATGTAAGCAAACAAAACATTGAACAGAAGCCCAATCTAACAGAAAATTGGTGGACAAGAGCAGTACAATGGAGAATGAAATCAGAATGTTGCTTCTAAACAGCTGTTACTACTACTTTGATTAAAAAGCAGTACCAGCCTGATACAAACTTCATACACACTAGAAATAAGGCTTTGCCAAACTCAATTAGGCATGTGTGTGGGGGGATAAAAGCAGTAAGTTTGAGAAAATTTCAAAGCTACTGATGAGAGAAGCCATCAAAACTGTGTGAAAGAATCTGCAAGTTTTATATCTTAAAGAAAACTATATAAGCAATTTACTGGCTCAGTTTTGATCTTTACCTGTGAGATTGGCAGACCAAGCCACTTGCACACGGACACTGCTCAAGTACTCCATCAGGTTCTAGTTCCCAGGTGATCAGGTTGAGAAGTCTGTTTGAAGGATCATGGCAAGGTTCACCTTCTTGAGGTAATGGAGTGCACACAGGAAATAGCAGTTCTGCATGCCAGAGTACATTAATTTTATGAGAAGTCATTAACTGTCAGCTAAACTGAGATGACTTACTATGTATGTCCATAGATGTCCTGGTTTCAGTTAGAACAGAATTAATTTTCTTCCTAGTAGCTGGTGGAATGCTGTGTTTTGGCTTAGGATGAGAAGAGTGCTGATAACACGCTGATGTTTTAATTGTTGCAGAGCAGTGCTTATACCAAGCCAAGGACATCTCAGCCTTTTGCTCTGTCCTGCCAACGGGCAGGCTGGAGGTCCAGTAAGAGCTGGGAGGGGACAGACCCAGGACAGGTGACCCAAACTAGCCAAAGGGGTATTCCATCCCATCTGGGGTCATGCTGAACAATATATAGGGGTGGCTAGCCGGAGGGAGGGGGCCGGACTGCTCGGGGTTAGGCTGGGCATCAGTCAGCGGGTGGTGAGCAATTGCATTGTGCATCACTTGTTTGTACATATTATTATTATTTCCCTATTATCACCATATTATTATTATTGTTATTATTATTATTATTATTTTGTTATTATTATTTTCCTGTCTTATTAAACTGTCTTTATCTCAACTCATGGGCTTCACTTTCCATTTCTCTCCCCCATCCCAGAGAGGGAAGGGGGAGGGTGAGCGAACGGCTGTGTGGTGTTTAGCTGCCGGCCGGGTTAAACCACAACAATATACAAGAAATAAAAAAGATGGGCTTGTTTTTTAAGTCCCCTTATATATTCGGGAGCCATAACTTAATGTTCTTTCCACTAGGTGGGAGTAAGATGCTTTGTTTATGCTTACTGAGTAAGATCCATTCCTGCCTCATCACAAAGAGACTACTGTCAATACAGTGGTACCATACAACTCCTTCCGCTGGAGATCTCAAATACTATTCAAAACCCAAGGCAACTACTGACATTACAGTGAATCCTTTGCAATGCATACTGTTGTTTAAAATCTGAATGTAGAAATCTCTATGGCAGAACTATTCTTTTTTTTTTTTTTCTCAGAGGTTTCAAATGCAATTGTTCAGACTAAAGCAGCCAGGTTACAAAACCTACAACTCAGCCATTTAACTTGCTATAAGAATTCTACAGTAATCCTTCTTTTCCTTGGCATCCTTCTTTTCTGTACATTTCAACCTGTATAAGGAATTAGATAGAATAACACATGGTTTTGGGTTTCTTGATGCTACTAACTTAGTGTCTATCTTGAATTCTGCTCTCCCAGATGTTCCTTTCAAATCTGTTTTCTGGTCTTCATTCACCTCACTTTTTGTGGTATGGTACAATAAAATGGGGGAGCTCTGAATTTTTCTGTAATGAGTCATCAATATATGTATACATGCAAAATATATACACGCTTCTAATGTGTATGATTCATTGGTTGCTAATTCCAAAACAGATTCTATCTTGAATAGTGAATGTTCCATGGCTTACTACAGTTTTTAAATAAAATTAAAAAAAAAAATGTAGATACAGTCCAATCTGTATTAGGACAACCTTCTCCAATGTTTTACTGATGGAGAAAGGCCTTCATGTTAGGCCTTACTTCCACTCACACCTAACCTGAGAACCTAAAGCACTGCTGAAGCAGGCAACTATAAAGAAAAATTCTTTGCTGTTAATTGACAATTCTGATAAGTTTTAATGATTGTGATCCATTAAGTTTAGTCAATCTTCTTACCTATTGTGTTGTTCCTTCCTGAGTTACATGTTTGTACTGAATTTCATTTCAAGCCAAGCAGTAACTTATATTCAAAATTACTGTGAATGTATATAATAATGAAGACATCTTGTTCAAATTCCATAGGAGATCAGAGCTACAGCCATTATTACCTTCACAATAGCCAAGCCTAGTACCACAGACACTAATGGATGTGTATTCCTGATTCACTCAACTTTACAACACCAGCAGAGGTTTGAAGACCTACATGAGGAAATTAATAGGCATTTATAGAAGTGGTCTTTGTCTCATTTCAGGATCAGCATTTACAGAGAAATCTCTAGTAAAGCTTAGCAAAACATAGATGTGTTAAGAAGGTACCTCATGAAGGGGAAAATAAGCCACAACTGCTCTAAACAAAGCTTGCTGAAAGCAAACTAATTTAACTTGGAAGGTCTGTGCTGTAATGCTCTGAATTAACAAG